TATCTAGATATATCTAAAATATATCTAAAATATATCTAAATATATCTAAATATATCTAAATATATCTAAATATATCTAGATATACGAAATATATCTGGAAATGGAAATTGGCGTCGAAGCATATAATTTTTGCATCGAATCCGATGCAAAACGAATCAAGCACGCAGAGGCACAATTATCAGATGCAGCAAAAAAAGCGCGCTCTGGCATAACATCTGCGAGGAAAGAAATGGAGGACGAATATTCCAACCTAGAAGGGCAGCTTTACGGTGCTGGGATTGCAGACTAATAGTAAAAATTTTTTTGAGTCAAATTTTAAATTTTTTCATGTTATAATACAACTCCAAACTTTAAACGCGTTTTTCTCGAAACACGTTTTTTCAACGCGGCAAGCAGTATAACTCTAACAATTTTTAATATTTTCACTTGAATTTTTTACTGTACATTCAAAACAACATTTCGAAGTACAATACGTATGGAATTTTTGATACGTTGCTCTAAACATTTTTTATTGCCAAATAATGTCACTTTTTTTTGTCGAAAAATGAACGACTTTATTCAAATGCTCGCCAATCACTCAAAAATCAATATTTCTAAAATCCCATACGTATTGTACTTTTTTTTTTTTTTTTTTTTATAGTCAGGAAATTTGCCTAAACCAAACTTCGCCGTCCTGACCCCTGAGGGAGGGTCAGGAGGCTTCGTGGTGGATTCCCGCCCGTAGTATCCCGAGGGACTATCGGGCGGGGGACCGACCTAAAACCTGACTGAAGCCCCTGGTCGTATGGGTATTGTCCACCGCGGAACCGCGTAAGCATTACTTCACGGTAGACACCCGACCGGCGTCCTTAAGGTAGGACACATCCCCCGAGAGGATACTACAGGTATCCCCCCGGAGAGGACATTCCCTTGCCCCGAAAGGGCATCGAGGGGAGCCGGGCTACTAGCTCCCCCCGGACTTCCCAGGGTCGACGTGCAATGAGAGCGGGGCCCCCACCCCTCTCTCTGCCAACCCGGTAAGTGAGGTGACCGCAGTCACCCACCCACACACACAACGTCACAGGACGATTACAGTACATAACGTGCACGAAACATGTACACAAACCACATTAATACATAGTAAGGGCCACAGGCCCAGCCCCCAAGGGAGCCCACAACAAGGCGCTATGGCCAACCACAATAAAGGTGGGAGGGTTGTTACTCCCACCTATGACAAAAGACAATAAAACTATGAACAACATAAACTTGGCGTGGGTGAAGAGGCCGCGGAGTCACCTCTCGGCAACCTCCCCGGCGCTCCATCACCTATCGCCGCAACCTACAACATAAACTTGGCGGGGCAGGGAGACCACGGAGTCACCTTTCGGCAACCTCCCCAGAACTCCCCGCACCCACCGCTACACACTACGACAAGCAAAGACAGACACTAGACATCGGGGGCAGTACTGCAGCCCGGGACGGGGGAGCCGCCTCTCCGCGACCTCCCCCGCCCCCGACTACAGTCCACCACCGTCCATTCCGGGCTCTCGGGAGATCCCCCATCAGGACGCCCCGGAGCCTGCGCGCGCTCGGAAAAAGGCGTACCCTCCCGACGCCTCTTGGGAGGGACGCGCACGCGAGCGCATGCAGCCGACCCGCAGCGGTGTCCCGCTGGCTTTCCCCTCGAACCGCACGAGAAACATCGGGGCGGCGCCACACAATCGGCCGCCCTATGACCCGGGCAACCACACCGGTAACACAGGCCACTCCGATCCGCATCGGCGCCACAGTTGTTGGCTGAATGGCCAAACTCGTGACACCGATAGCACTGGAGGGGACGGCGAGCCAGATGACTAACATCTAGCGTCGTCCACCCCCCCTCCAAAGTAAGCCTTTTTGCCACCAGCAACTTACGTGCCACTCTAGCGGGACAACGGATCCACATTGTCCCCATACTTGATCCTGTAAATAACCTAATCTTACCGGCTTTTAGGTCTTCAGCCCGACATCCCCCAAACAACGCTACCTCCTCCAAGATCTTCTCACGCTTCGCAAAGACCATTGACCCCCTCAGGCGGACATCTTCCATCCGAGAGGGGCGACCAACTTGGACATCCCCCGCTTCAGGAAAAGCTTCCCTCAGCTTAAGCGCGAAAGCATCTGCTTTTGTAGCCGACTCCTTGCCAGGGACTGACAGCAGGATGCTGCCAGTTACCCCTGTTCTCATCCGCATTGTACTAATGCCCAACTCCTTCAGGTCGACCCTCGCTTTGGCCTCCGAAAGGACCGAGACATAGGACTTACCCTGACCCCCCCTCCCGATCGTCAGTGAAATCACCGACGAAGAGAAAGGGGGGGGAATTCGGCTCTTCTTCTTTGGAGCGGAAGTACCCGAAGAAGGGATCCTCTTAACAGGGGGCCCCCCACGACGACGACGACGCCTACCCCTTGCACTAGCCCCGGGGGCAGAGGCATCCACCGAAGCCTCTGCAAGAGCAGAGACGGCAGAGCCCCCGGCCACGGGACCAGCCGATGGCCCACGGACACCGACAACGCTTGCCCTGGGCGCACGCCCGGGATCACTTCCGGAGAAGAGTCCCCAGCCCGCCCAGTGAGCAAAGGCTTAATATTAGCCAACACGGCAGCAGATATGTCGACCCTAAGGTCGGCAAAACGCCTATCCAGTATGGACGACAGATCCTCCATAGTGACGGGATGACTCCCGGCCAAAACCGTCTCCGTCACCACCTGTCCCGACGGCGATCCCGGAGATGATGCCGGACAAGGTCGCTTCCTTGCTCCCCTATCGCCAAAAAAGTATTCCGCTTCCAACTGCGGAATGGCCGCCCGAAAGCTCGCCATCTCCGCCTCAACCCTATCTCGATCGCGCTCCAAAGCCGCGATCCGATCCCGCAGTCCCAGGTTCTCAGTCCTCAGTGCCTCAGTCTGTGGATCCGTTTCAGCGACGACCCGCTTGGCCATCTCATCGAAAATACCCACAAGCCTCATTGAAGACACCCGAAGATCCCTGGCCACGACCTCATCGAGACCAGTGACATCGGATGCCTTCTCCACTTGTGTGGCAGACAACCCGGCCAACCTCCGGAGCTCCAAATTGGTGACTCACAAGGCTGGACCTAAAGACCTCATCCGAGGGGATATTCTCCCTTCCCACTGCGGTGAGGTTTGGTCCTAAACTCGGATCCAAAAGTCTATTGAGGTCCTTCAAAAGGACCTCCTGCCTTTCTGCACGTAAGACACGCTCCTTGGCTTCCGCGATATTTACGTAGTCCCCAGTTGTTTTGGGGCGACCACGCTTAGTGCGTCCGGCACACTTACCTCCAGTATTTTTGCGGGGGTACTGCTTCCTTCCAGTTAGCAGCCGCTTGTCCGATACCTGGAAGTCCGCGTCTCTCCCATCGTCCTCCGGTGAACTCGGCGAGGAGACCGTGATGAAGCTCACCTCCGGTTCGCACTCACCGTCACTTACACCCCGCACTTTTTCCGGTGAGGGAAGAGGCTGAGAACAGTCACTCTCCCCATCTACTGTTCCTCCAGTCAATGATTCTGCGGTACTAACCGCAATAACTGGTTCGAAGAACTGTACACAAACGTGTTTGGCACAGAACTCCGTTTCACTTCGCGAACACTCCCGAAAAAAGACGTCCATGCATTTCGCGAGGTCCTTATATTCATGATGAGCCTGATAGCTCCGAACCACTTTATCTAGAAGGACTCGGCGAATACGCGCAGCAAGTTCCTTCGGATCAACACCTCGATCACGAGTATCCCAGCTACGAGCTAGGTCGCGTAACCGTTCACGCACCGTGTCTTTTTCACTCCTCGGCACTGTCGCTGTCTTGTCTGCAGCCCCAGCCGGCAAAGCTGCAGACGACCTGTCGTCTGTTGACGACATGGAGGGAGCCAGGCCTACACCCCCCCCACGCCGGTTCCCGGTACCCGAACCCGGGACGTTCGCTTCTTTTCCTGAACTCATCATATCTGAAAAAGAAAGAAATTGGTTTTTTCTGTCGGGGGTTTTCCTTCCCCTTAGGAGGTTGCCTTGCCTGGCTAACGGGGCCTCCCCCCCGGGTGTTATATTCGGTGTTTTCCTTCACCTAGTGCAGTGGACAAGATACGTATTGTACTAGATATACCATTGAAGATCATGAGGAATTTTTTTATTTGTTCTTGGTTCAAATTTCCAACGGCTACACTGCTTGCCGCAGACCCCTTTATTTTAAAGGAGCATCAGGGAATATGGCTGCCATTCCGCCATTTTGTAATATTATTTTATGAAAAAATTTTTACAAGTACTTCAATATATGCTTATTAACTTCACGGAGTATTAATACTTTATTTCATTTCCTTTCATTAAAAAAAAAATGTCGAAAAAGTGCAATTTTTTGGGCCGTTACAGTGGTGTTACCCCTTAAAGGTGGTTAAAGCATCTTATCAATCATTCAAGTATTTGAAATATTATAATTATATTATATTATTATGTTATGATTCCATAAGTTCTATTGTTACTTAATTTCGAACATGTTAGTGTCGCATCTATATGCGGTTCAGTTAGTCGTATGGTTGGAAGTATGCGCCAGGTGAGGTCTAGTGACGCTGTCCGATTGGCTGAGCCGCTTAGTTAGAACTAGGAAGATCCTATATGTTAGTACGGTTAGTAAAATCGTCCCAATAATTATGAATAATAAATAATAATAGTAATATTGAGAAATACAATTGCATTTCTTAAGTAATTATTTAGAAAGATTTGTAGCGCACAAAAATACGGTTTCGAAAAAATGACGGGATGTTACAGCGTACTGCCGGTCCCTAATAGGAACTGCTTCCGCGAGAGTCATGTGGTATTAATACGTTCGACCGGCGCGCTATTAATTTTCGGCGGCGACGGCGTACGCCGAAAATTTTAGAATCGGCGGCGTAATCGGCGGGTAGAAATTTACCGGTGGCGGCGGCGTGGCGCGGGATCTAGTTGGAAGTCAACAATTCCCTGGGGTCAAGTTTCGTTGAAAAGATAGTAATTATTATTCTCTTGCAGCACGCTGAAAACAATTTCGGAACACGAAAACAGTACTGTCAGTACTTTCTGCTCATTTTGGAAGATACCTAATATAAGCGAGAGGAGATTGGAATGATTCCTTCGGACTTTCCTCCGCTTGTACTGATATAAATTTGTATCGTTCTCTACTTAAAGCAGTCACAAAGAAAAAAAGATTTTCCCCTTTTATTATGTTTTGAGAAGAGTTGTTTATTTTTCTTATTCTTTGGTATTATATATAAGTGTAAGTATAAATCATAATGAAATAAATATAAAGACAATTTTATGTATAATATTATATTATTAATATTATTATTAATATTCCTATATTATTTATATTATTTTATATAACCAACAAAATAATTATCTTTTATAAATTCTGTGTTCAAAATAATCTGATATTTCTTTTTATTTGTTATAGATTACAGATGCATTTCATGAAAATGTGCATAAAAGATGCAATGTAATCACTATCAGAAGTTTGCATTGAAGGTGTATTTACTCATGAGACAACAGGATGTCTAATACAATAAGTGGCAAGAATTTATTGCGGCCGAATACTCTGCAATGCAAAAACCTATACGAGTATTTAAAATCACGTACTCCAGACACACTGAATAAACTCTACCACAAACCACCGATATGTCTGGCAGTATTCCGAGAGCTGCCCACAATTGCCAGGCATTACGTCATGAGGCTGCTGTTTGTGGAGCAGCCGGTGCCACAAGCGGTCATAGCTTCCTGGTGTTCAAAGCTCTTCTTTGAAGAACACCAGAAGGTGGTGCAGGTCCTGAACGATCTGAATGTATGGAAGGAGGCGTCTATACCTGGCGGACTGCCAGGCTGGATTCTGAACAATATCTTTAAGAAGAACTTGAAGATTGTACTGCTGGGAGGTGGTAAACCTTGGACAATGTCCAATCAACTGGAAACTGACAGTAAACCACGAGATGTGGCTTTCTTAGATTCTTATGCGTTAGAGAGATGGGAATGCGTTTTGTACTATATGGTTGGTTCCCGTCTGCACGAAGGTGCGATTTTTTTAATCTAAAAATTTTGAAGTTTGTAATTTTTGTGTTTTTAAGTATATAACTATTTAACTATTTTTAATTAGAGTCTTTATGCAAGTAATTTGTATTAATATATAGAGAAATTATTACAAATATCTAATATATTTGAATTTTTTATAATAGGTATATCTGCTGATGCTGTACGAATCCTTTTGCATGCTGGTTTAATGAAAATAGATGAAACTGATGGAAACCTAGTTATAACACAAGCAGGTTTTCAATTTCTTCTTTTAGATACAGCTTCACAGGTAACTATACTAATTCTTATATCAGTTCTTATATCACTTTATATACTATTTTTTTCTATTTAAATATATATATTGTAGAATGTTGTATTATTATACAGGGTGTCTCATAATTCGTGAACAATTGTTCGTGGGCAGGTAGAGCACGTTAAACTGAATAGAAAAGTTTTATACCATTTGCTAAATTCGCAATAATTATTGAGTTATTTATTAAAATATCTCAGCAAATAAGCGATTGGAAATCATTTGATCGAGAGGCGACGTCATACAGCGAGTGGCAAGCAATGTAGGGGCGCCGAAAAGTAAGATGATAATGTTGATACTAAGCGACATATAACAAATAAGCCATCCGACATGCCCACTGAGTCCGACCTATCGCTTTCTATCCCGTTCATTTGCTTAGATATTTTAGTTAATAACTCAATAATTATTGCGAGTTTAGCACACACACACAAAATGGTATAAGACTTTTCTATTCAATTTAACGTGCTCTACCTGCCCACGAAAGGTGGTTCACGAATTATGGGACACTCTGTATATATAATATACAGGGTGTCCCATTTTAATGTTTTACTTTAAATAACTTTTACTTTTTATTATAGAAGAAAATGTTTCAGACAAAAGTTGTATGGTTTCGAGGGGGGCATAAAGTATGATTACCAAAAACTGAATATTTTACAAGATATTTTACATTTTATGTCAAAAAGTTGTTAATTTCGAATTTTTATAATTCAAAAAGTACTTAATAAAAAAATACTTTATTATAGAATTTGGGAAAGCTCCTAGATAAGTTACAAGAATATGCAATGAAAAATAGGTGGTTCCATTTAAGAAATTGTAGGTGACCTTTATGTGACCTTCAAGCAATTATTCAAGGTCAAATTAATGGCACCATCTTATATCCCCCTCGAAACCATACACCTTTTGTCTGAAACATTTTCTTCTACAATAAAAAATAATACAGTTATTTGGGATGAGACATTAAAATGGGACATCGTGTATATACAATATATTATATGTATATTATATGAATATATATATAAAATTTTATATATATATATATATATATATATATATATATATATATATATAATGATATATACATATATAATTTATATATTAATATATTTAATGTATTTTTAATTCTTGTAATTATGTTTATTATATGCTTATGCATAATAATATTGATCAATTGAAAATTGTGCAAATACTTATTAATTTATACATCACAAATATTTTGTTTAAGGTATGGTACTTTATTCTGCAGTATCTTGACTCACTTGAGACACGTGGTCTTGATTTAGTGGAGTGCCTTACCTTTTTGTTTCAATTGAATTTTTCCACTCTTGGTAAAGATTATAGTACCGAAGGCATGTCCGAAGGACTCTTGATCTTTTTGCAGCATTTGCGAGAATTTGGACTTGTATATCAACGAAAACGCAAAGCAGGAAGGTAAATATATATTCTGCCCTGATAGAAATATTTTGTGGAAATTACAATAAATTCAAATTAAAAAGTGCAAATAAAAATAACTCAATGTTTACTGAATTTATTTTAATTTAAATCAGACTTTTTACAATAGTATATAATAAATAGTACAAATTTTAAGGAAAATTATTGAATATTTTTAAAAACTAATAAACTCATGAAATATTATTTTGTTTTGAAACGCAATGTTTTGCTAATAGATGTTATTTTAAAGATTAATTAATTGAAATTTATTGAAACTCTACTAAAAACTTCACTAAAAACTATTAATGATAAAATTTTAATAAAATTACAAAGGAAAAATTAATAAAAAATTTCAGTATTTGAAGTATTATTATTTCCGTATGGTTTTCTTATATTTTTCTAACACATGTGATTTTATTATAATTTTTGATATAATATTTCTATCAAGATATACATATATAGATATAAATAATATGTGTATATAAAGTTGAATTGATCTTTTAATTATATTTCTGTTGCAAGATTTTATCCTACTCGATTAGCATTAAATATTGCTACTGGTGAAAATAAACCTTTAGCTAAAAATACAGATAAGGAAGGATACATTGTTGTAGAAACAAATTATCGAGTGTATGCTTATACAAACTCCAACTTACAAGTCGCATTACTTGGACTTTTCTGTGAAATGCTATATAGGTAAGTGTATTACATACATATACATAAATTATTACAGTTGTGTATTGAACATAAAATTATATATATATATTTTTTTAGCACAGATATTTGAATATTTATTAATATTTATTTCAGATTATTTAGAAATTTCTTAAACTACATTTTTTATAATTTTTTTACTTTAATAAAAAAAATTTGTATTTTTTTGAAAAGCACTATTATAAAAATTGAGTAATAATGATGCTCAATCAAAATTTTAAAAATCTTATTTAAGTTGTAAAAACTGCAATTAAGAAACTAAAAAAAATTGTGTTGGAATGCACAAAATTTTAAATTTTTATATATTTCTATGTATAGATTGCCAAATTTGATTGTATCAATATTAACAAGGGATTCCGTAAGACAAGCATTGAAGAGTGGAATAACTGCTTCTCAAATAATAGGGTACGATGATGACACATATTTCATTCGCATCAATAACATAATAATCAAATAATATTTTCTATATTGTTTTATATAGGTATTTGCAACAACATGTGCACAGTAAAATGATAGAAAAAGGACCGCCTATATTACCACCTACCATTGTAGATCAAATTAAGCTATGGGAAAATGAGAGAAATAGATTTTTGTTCAGCGAGGGTGTTTTATACAGTCAATTTCTTTCACAAACTGACTTTGAGGTTCTGAGGGATCATGCACTTTCCATAGGAGTATTAATTTGGCAAAGTGAGAGGTAATTATTACTTTAAAATATTTTAGGAATTATAAATACAATTTATTATGACAAAATTTTATGACAAATATCACAATTGAGACAAATCTTTATCTTGTAGGAAAAGAACTATGGTAGTTACCAAAGCTGGTCATGATGATGTAAAGAAGTTTTGGAAACGATATTCAAAGGGTTCGAGTTAATATTGTATTAATAAAATCTAATTATAAGTATTTTACATTATTGTTATTTCTTTAGTAACAATATTACAAAAAAAGATTATTTCAAAAAAGTGCCTAGATAGAAAAATTGGAAAGTAAATTATTCTTTTCTCACTCTAATAAAAATGAATTTTTTTAATGCCAAATCATTTCTCAGGTCAGACTAGGTTTTGATAATACAATTATGATAACGCATTAATAAAAAGTGAATTTATATATATATTTATATAATAATATTGTCTATATTTTTTTATATATTTTTACCAATCACATTTATATAACAAAGAATTATTTAAAATTCGATAATTTATCAAAATAAAGTTTTTGCAATTTTGCACGTCGTAATAAATGGATTTCATATTGCAAAAAATTCAGCTGTTTCTCTGGCATTCTTTTAACATACACTTACAATTAATTAGCTCTTGATATAATGTTTCCAATACTTGTGTAATAGAAAAAAATAATGCAATATACATTTACAGTATTAACATTCAATATTGCAGATAATTAAATTAGACACACAATTAAAGCTCCTGGTTTTTCATCGACCATGTTGGAATTGTGACGTCAGACTCTGACGGTCAGAGGCGAGAAAACACGCTAAAAATTCTCATTCATTCATTTTCATTTAAAAATGTCATCTAAGAATTTTCAGTTTTCTCGCCTCTGACGTCACAATCTGACACGGCCACGTGTTCAAGAAAATTAATTAAATTCATCTGTAATTAATTAAGATATAATGTTCCATAACTTTTAGCGATATATGTTAAATCAAGCATCGAGAATAAAATATAAGAATATTAAGTAATGCATTATTTGTCACATGGTTTAAAAAATAGTTTTGTGTAGGGATAAAAAAAAGTTTGTTTTCGGCAGATATAAATGCAGAATGATATTAGTTGTCAATTCTATGCGTCTCTGATAGCGATATATATGTATATATATGGAAAAGACATTCAAGTATTCACTGTACTAGCATGAATCCCAAACATTCGACGAACAGGGAACTTGATGTCAACGTTGTGGCGCTGCTTTTGGTTTTGGCATTTTAGCCAGCAAACCCTGGATCTCGTTCTTTTCATCGTATCTCTTCCACAATTCATATAAATTAATTATATACCGTGCTATTTCTTGAATCTTCTCCAGATCCGCATTTAATTCTGCGAACCACGATTTAAGATCTTTTTGCAATATCACGCAAGCTATTTGCAGACAACCTGCAAAAAAGTAGATATTGTTAAATATACAATTTCTTTGTAATCATGATGTCCAGTAGACTCAATGAAAAAAAATGCCCTAGCTTTTTCAAGTTTTCCAAAATCAGAAATTTATTTTTTTTCTTTGACTTTTTAATATTAATTATTAAATAATTTGCATACATCTGTATGATAAGTCAATTAAATGTTAAATCACGAAATTCTTGAGATATTTTTGTCAACAAATAGAATTTTGAAAAAGTTCAAAATTTAAAACAGGAAAAATTAAAGCAATTATCTTTGTCAAATATATTAAAATAAAATAACACTACAAAAATATAAATTACAGGACATGCTTTTAAAGCTTTTCATAAAACAGAAAATTAACGTACTGAGAGTCAGGGAAAAGTTTATATTTATTTTCTAAAAAATTTCAAATTATTAGGAAAAATATAGAGCAATGTGAAAAAATCCAGATAAATCATAAAATTTCTTGACTTCCCTTTCTTTTGCACTGAGAAAATCTTTTATAGGTACCCACACTCCCTGCTGATATAAAATCCCCTGACAATTCCAGATTTTCCTTACAACCTGGTAATGCACACTAGATTGTAAAAATAATATTGCTTACCAATTGCTATTTGATAAGGTGGATACAATAAACATACATCTGTCCTTAAACTGTCATTAATTATACGCCATGCGAGAGTAAGTAATTGATCATCTGGTCCCACATCCTGAATTAATGTTAATAAGGGACGGTATGGTTGATATACTATTAAACAACAATCTAACTGTTCCAAGAGATAAAATTCACACTCTAAAATATGATTTATACGATATGGAAATTCTTGCATGTATGCGTAATTAAATTTGTTCTTAACTGTGAAAAAAAATATTTAATCAGCATATTAATCATCAATAATAATAGAAGATATATTCACATAAAACTTACCTATAGTTCCCATTGTTGTTATCAATCTAGTATTAGAAATTACACCAAATTCTTCTACTTTTGATGCTAAAAACACTGCTGTAGGAGCTAATAATAAAGGATCTATACATTTTAAACTGTTGCGAGCATAAAATCTTTTAAAATAAACTGTTGCGGTAGCTATCACTTGTTGCCTCGACTTTAATTGTTCACCTAACATTTGTATCACTAATAACAGAAATAAATACATGATAACGTCATTATAAAATGTAATATTTTATGCAGCATGTTCATGCAAATATAAAAAACACAATAAAGTATAATTATGTATAAACCTGTCATTTTTTTTTATTTATGTTAAATTTGTATTTTGAATAGCATTGGATCATATAATACAGATCTAAAAAACTTAATCTATCAAAATTACGAAAAGATATAAATACAAGTTTCTTTCTCATCTAATAAACATCTTGCTACATTTTACAATTTATCATTTTAACTTACTGTTAGAAAAGAAAATGAATATTTTCTGATATTCTTCCTCTGATAATATTGATAAATCATGCTGACGTTCTCTGATCAAATCTTGTTTATCCAGTAACCACTGTTGACTAAAAATTAAAAATAAAAAGTATATAGTAAAATTGCATTCTGTATAAAATTTATTGATATAATTAAAAACTTAACTTACTGATGTGAACTTTGCCAGAAATTACCGGCCATTTTATAAATATTTAATTCTAAATTTTGATGCGTTGGAAGATGTTAATTGTTTTAAATCCTAAATTTTGTTTGAGGTGTAACTGTTTTCATATTCTCTACTGAATCTCTTCTGAATTTTCTCGAAACATGGATAAGCCGACGAACTTGTTTCTTTCTTTCTTTGTATAAATTATAGAGAAAAAAATTTACAATTATTTTCGACGAATAAATTCATGTAAAACAAGTGCTTGAATTATAAATATAAAGCAACAACATCAAGAAAGAACAAGCAAGATCAGAATTTGTACTCCATATCAAGGTCCGTAGTCCGTAGATGAACGATGAGAGGGGAAGGAAGGTTCTCGCACAGTAGAACTAGTATGTGCACTCCACCTTTTTTTTCCGCCTAGAGTTAGCAGAGGAATTGAATATTTTTTAATTATTTTATAATATATAATTTGGGAATCATTTGGGAAAGTTTAGGAAAACTATTTTAACATTTAGGAAATAATAGTTTTTTTGTTAATAACAAAATTTTATAAATCATCAAGTTAGCAGATAGTAATAACATTTTACATTAATTATAAATGAAATCGATTAGAAATCATTTGGGAATAACATATTCATTGTTATTTTTATTTGGGAAAAGTCCCTTTTTCTGATTTAAATAAATTTGTACATTACAAACAGTGCATTATGCGTTATGCATAAAGCATAAGGAATTCAACCAATCAAAACTTTTTATTTTTATTCTAGGGATAAAATGAAAGACTAAGGGCGATATTTATATGGTGCTTTCCATTTAGCAACACAAAACGACACAAGTGTCATTCTATTTTTATCCTACATTCTAGGTTTGTTCGCGTCGCATGCCCCAACATGCTCCTTCTTACTCCAATGCGCTCGTATTGGTGCGCTCCTCGAATTAGACCAATACGAGCGCATTGAAATAAAAAGGAGCAAGTTGGAGCATGCGACGCGAACAAACCTTCTATAAAGAAAAAATGAGGGTGCCGTCACATGAAGCGTAACTTGCGTACGCGTAACTTGCGGTAACTTACGCCGACCAATCACATCGTCTCATTTCAGTATCAGCTTCTGTCTAGTTATTTTATGCTTTGTACGCTATTATCGTTACGCCGAATTTAAGGTACCTTTAATTTAATTTCTGGTGGAAGAAACGCTGATGCGTATTTGTAAAAAAAAACACAACTCCATTTGTGCGTTCTTCTGCCAAAGACTAAAAACAAAGAAAAAGTTAATTTTAATTCATCCATACCTATACATTAATAAGATAAATAAGAATAATCAAATAAGGGTAAGTTAACAAAAATCTAATTTATTATATAAGCTTTAATAGCGTTCGATTAAAAACAGTTTACTGCTCATGACATGTGATACAAAATTTCAAGTTTAAATTGTATATTAGTAGGTCTTCGTACTTTTTGCATTTGAAATCTGTTTCCTCTTTCTCTAATATTTAACATATATTGATTTCTTGTTTTTGATGCATGAATTTTTGAGAATTTTGAGCAATATGAACATCATAATGCATTACTTTCTACATTGCATGTTTGAATCTTTTCAGCACAAATGCGGGTATTGTGAATGGCTGTTCCAATTTTCTACTAATTTTGTCGAGCATGAATGCTTCAAGCATTATGTGGAAGATAAGGATCGCATTGTTGTAGATGAAAATTTTGTCGTGACAATATGTTTATAACAGTATGTTTACTACATTCTTTGCATATATTTTGTTGTATCATTTTATATGTATTATATAGTAATTAAATGTATTTATTTATTTAATAATCCAAGAGAATGCAAAGACTGCGGAAGGTCCTACAGATACTTTGGATGAACTCTTGATCGAAGCAGTGAGGGCTCTCGTCTTCTACATATTTCGTTTATCTTGTCACTTTGCCAGCCATTTTAAATATGCGCGTTTTACGGAACCCAAAGCATCGGTTCCCCATGAAGCGTATTATTCGGGACGCGTAGGTTACGAAAACCAATCACAAGTCCTATTTAGCATTTCTGTTTAAGCATACAACGGAAACTCTAATCTACGATTGGTTGCATTAGTTACACGTTCGCGCAATACGCTCTATGTGAATGCCGTCCTTCAGAATAGCGTAACCACGGCGTATCTTTTATTAAATCACTAGATTACACTAGAATACGCGGCTAATATCTGAGATGAACGAATCCGTAATTCCCGGCCGGCCGATAGGCGTCTCCACCATGTCGCCTGTCGACCCTTAAGGGTCGGCAGTACACCCAGGCAAACTCCGAATTGATATTGGAGACCTCGTGCGGTGACAACGCGAAACTCCGGTTTCAGTGTTGCCAACGCCGAGAAACCAATTCTCGGGTTTTATGTAGTGGTGTATGTCTGTACACGTACATACACCACTGCATCGCTCACGCGGACGCACGTAAGAGAGACAAGGACCGATAATCACGTGTTCTCCTTGTTCCTCTACCGTGCCGGTATACGCGAGATGCCGCCTAAAAATGCTTTCTGGCTTTCCGTAGCAGAAAGCAGTAACGTAGCAAGACTAATAAGCACCCATTTTTGTAAATTTTATATATGCTTATGCACATATGTGGATATATTATTTATATATAAATATATATATATATAAAATATACTAATTTACTCTCAATTATATATGCTACTGTTATTATTTATCATTAGACAATTATAAAACAGAGGTTATAGATTTGGTCTGACTACACTGGCCTCAAATTAAAGTTGTATATATATTTATTTTAACATTTCGACCATACGGGATGTGGTCCTTTTCAAAAATACAGATTGGAATATCAGAGAGTTACAGCATTTCGTCTTTAAGATGTAAGCGCAAATTATGATTCGGAGAGATTTAACTTGTCAAATAATAAAATATAAAATAAATTATAAAACATATACATATATAATTTGTAGTGCTATATATATATATATGTTTTATAATTGTCTAATGATAAATAATAACAGTAGCATAATTGAAAGTAAATTAGTCTACAATGTTAGACACGGGTACTTGTTAGATTTGATAATTTATTGCTTATACTTTTTCGAGAGACAAGAATAAGAGAACGAATATAAATTATTATTAGCTTGTATAGCAATCATAGATTGACGAATATGCGTTGGTTATTCTTGATTTCTTTTCTATTATTGATGTTATTGTATAATTTGCTCCATAAATACTTATAACATAAAAGAACTTATGTCGAGTAATATTGATCAATGCAAAGGATGTTCAGTATGTATCACCCAGTAAATTATTAGAGTTCAAATATATCAATATCAATTTTTAATAATATATTGGAATACAGAGAAATGATAAAAAAATATATTTCGGCAATAAAAATTTTATAAATATATTGAAAATATTTTTACTACACGCGCGCGCGCGCACACACACACACACACACACACACACACACCCACATACACACTATATAAATGCAAAATAATACAGAAAATAAATTTATAATAAAAATCAACATACCAGCTATTTGTGTGTGCATATGTAGCTGCAAGCATGCAACGGATTTATTACTTGATAAATTTATTTACGGACTTATTTTGCATTTATATATATATATATATATATATAGTGTATGTAATTGTAAAAATGATTAAAATATTTTCAATATTTAAAAATTTTCAAGTTTATCGCCTTATTTCTATAATTTTTTCTATATTCTAATATATTGTAAAAAAATTGATATTGATATATTTGAACTCAAGTTTTTTACGTGATTGAATATTATTGCATTGAGCCATCATACGTTACTCGTAAGTTCTTTTACGTTATAATAGTATTTATGTAGCAGAGAGAAAGAGATAAGAGAGAGATTATACAATATAACTTTAATAATCGAAAAAAATCACGATAACGCTATTGTCATATCTATGTGTGTGCATATATATAAACATATTAATTTGCATATTATCTACCCAGACAGCACCAAGTCTAAAATTGACGCATAAGATAGCATTAAGAAATTTTAAGACAGCTATCTTATGATATGATATCAAAAAGACATCTTATAAAGATATCTTACGCGCCAATTTTGGACTTGGTGTTGTTTGGGTATATAAATAAAATATGTACACAAATAAAATAATATTTGCATAAATATTATTTTATTTGTACATATTTTATTTACATAGATTATATGCAAATATTTAAATAAATCATTCGATAATTTATTACACATTTTATTTATTATATAGATTTATATAGATTATATGCAAATATTTAAATAAATCATTCGATTATTTGTTACAGATGCATAATGTGAAATATATATTGCGTACACGAAACGATAATTGGAAGATAATGTTAGGCAAGAATTATTGCTATTCTTATTGTTCTTTTACATATAATATACATATACAGAGAAACAATGATAATACGAAAACCGGTTCTTGCTGATATCTCCCAATAATCGCATTCGTTCAACGCATTAGTGTTTGTGTCTACATGGATGTTACTACATATGCGATGTAAGAGAGACAAGGACAGAATGATAGTCTCTCCTTGTCAAGCTGTTAGCTGTCAGTATGTTACCACGGAAATTTCCCCTGCTCCTTATGAATCTAGTGAGAATCTTATCGTCCAGATATTTCATAAAATAAGTGACATAACTTTGGTTTTTTTTTTTTAATATATTCTTGATATAATAAAGTAGTCCGCCAAAGAGTCGGATTTTGCATTTTTGCTCTGAAAAATTTATAATAAATAAAATACGGACTCCTGGCTAACCCAACCTTACCCGTTACTAGCTGCGCATTCCCCCAAGTTATATTATAAATTTTATTTTCATCTTTTTTTCAATAAATAACTCTTTGGCGGACTGCATTTGAGCTTACTGATTAAGAATATCATAAATTTAATAAGATTCATTCAGTAGTTTCGCTAATATCTGGAATATAAGAATCTCTAATTCCCGGCCGGCCGATAGGCGTCTCCACCATGTCGCCTGCCGACCCTTAAGGAATTCGGTCTCCTATTCTTCTGATCTTCTATTCTCTAGTCTTTTTGCTGATTTTCAACTGCTGACGTTACAGGTTAAATTGTAGCCAAGATTGTAGCATCAGTTTTTAATGTCTTATATAGAATACTGAATTAAAATATATTGAAATAATAATTTTTAATAAATAATGGCGAATTTTACTGAAGATTTATTTGACGTCTTTGACGAGCAGGGCGATGATGTGGAGATGATACCAGAAATTCTGAAGTACATAATAATTAATGCGAAACTTAATTTATGAAAGCAACCTCGTGAATTATTAATATAAATTATTTATTCGAATTAAATGTGCAGGAAAATCGAACCAGAAGCAGGAATAAAGCGACAGCTTGACAATGAAAATGACTTGAAGTCGCTTAAGAAATTACGGCATGATCCTATTCTGGATGATATCAAGTAAGGCTCCGTCCTACATACCTGGAATTTATTCATAAATGGAATCAATATTTTAAATATTTTTTAATTTTTTAATACAAAGTAATCCGGAATAATATATTAATAGTATTCTATATAATAATATACATAGATGTAATAGTTTAGGATTAATTTATATTTTTGATACTGCTATATATTTTTTATTTGATGAAAGTGTAATAAGCATAATATAGATGCATATTTTTCAATTTTGTTTAATTATATTTAATTATTTATATTAATATATTATTTATTTATTAGTATATAATATTTATTTAATAATATATAATATTTAATAATATGTATATAGAATTGCTATATGAGAGAATTATAGCATGCAATTACATCAAACTACATTATTATTTTTTCAGTCTAGAGGATGTGGCATGTCGCATAAAAGTACACAATATAGAGACTGTTGAATCTTGTATGCACGAAATTGCTGTTCCTCCTGATCAAGAATACATACCTTTGGAACATAAACAGGGTAAACCAGCCAAGGAATATAAATTTATACTTGATCCATTCCAAAAGGAAGCAATTTTGTGCATTGAAAACAATCAGTCGGTTCTTGTTTCCGCTCATACATCAGCTGGTAAAACTGTTGTAGCTGAGTAAGTATTTTACATTTTATACTTTTAAAGCATGTCGTTTTTTAACAATCCTTTTCAGTGGCCTTTTTCTCACTTTATTATCTTATGATTCATACAGATATGCGATAGCATGTTCACTTAAGGATAAGCAGAGAGTGATATATACAACCCCAATTAAAGCGTTGAGTAATCAGAAGTATAGAGAGTTTCATGAGGAATTCAAGGACGTCGGTCTGGTAACAGGTGATGTTACTATAAATCCAACAGCTAGCGTGCTAATTATGACTACAGAAATCTTGCGCAACATGCTGTACAGAGGATCAGAGGTTTGTCTTACTATTAAAACTATATAAATATGAAGCATTCCATGTCATTGCCACTCAAATTAATATTAGTGACTTATTAGTAAATTTGACTTATTTGGAAGCGATATTTATTTACAAAACATCAAGAGTTGATATAATAAAGTATATAATATAAGAATGTTAGTATATAAGAAAAAAACTACATATTTTTACTATATTATTTTTTTGTTATATCTATATATATTTTTAAATTATATTTTATTATATATTTTTAGAATATTGTTTTTTATTATATATTATATTTTAGTATATTATTTTTTATTGTAAGTAGAAAGCATATGTCATTTTGACATCAATTTGTTACTTGGGATAATAAAAATACACGTTTATATAATATATATGTATATATATATTACATATTTATATATATTGTTTATTATTATTTTTTACTATATATAAATATTTTTAGAAAATCATATATTTGTATAACATCTATTTATATGTATAAATTACTTATAGGTGATGCGTGAGGTTGGTTGGGTGATCTTCGATGAAATTCATTACATGCGCGATAAAGAGAGAGGCGTGGTGTGGGAAGAGACGCTTATATTGCTGCCAGATAATGTACATTACGTATTTCTTTCTGCCACTATACCGAATGCACGACAATTTGCCGAATGGGTGGCGCATTTACACAATCAACCTTGCCACGTGGTCTCCACAGACTATAGACCTACTCCGTTACAGCATTACATATTTCCAGTTGGTGGGGATGGTATTCATCTGGTCAGTGATGATAATTATTTTTATAAAGAATCAGATTAATAGTATCATGAAAAGAGAGAAGAATAATTGATACTATAAATAAATTAATTAAAATAAAATATTTAATGAATAATTAATTCAAAATTCAAAAATGATTAATTTAATATTTGAAACTTATGATATAAAAATTATTTTTAATTTATAAAAACAATTTAAAAATTGCAATTTAAATAAGTATTATTGATTAAGATGAAAATTAATTGTTTAAATTTAAATATGTGATTTAATTAATATTATTATGTAGTACATATAATAGTGTAATTAATTAATTAAATTATTAATGTATATTTTAATGTATAGTTTAATTCTATTAAATATAGGATAAAAATTGTTTTTACAATGGAAACCCAGGTAGCAAGCATAGGTCATTTTTACGTCAAATGACGTCATAGACATCAAAATGACCATTAAATGTCAAAATGACGTTAAACGTAAAAGTGACGTTATGCAATATCATTAAACATCAAAGTGATGTCATGCAACATTCCAGATAGCACAATATATGTATTTTGTACTCAGATTGTACTCATATTTCTTAAAACATGATGACAAAAATAGACACAGATGCAGGCTCATATGCTACTCAAAACAGACATATTATATCTTTAAAATTTTTGCAAAAAAATGTCATAGTACATAAATATGCTCAAATTAATATCTGAGCTTACATTTTTCATCATATGTATGTAACTTGTGCTCATGATACCTATTATAATATGATTACAAGATATACAACACATTTCAATCATAAATCAAAAGATCATGACATGATGAAATCTGATCATCAGGCATTTCTATCTGGAATCATTAAATGTCAAAGTTACGTCATGCGACATCATTAAACGTCAAAGTGATGTAATGCGATATTATTAAATGTTAAAGTGACGTCATGCGACGTTATTAAATGTTAAAGTGACGTCATTGGCATCATTAAACGTCAAAATGACGTCATTTCGATATCTAATGAGTCAGTTTGCTACTTGGGAATTAATAATCAATAAATATATAATTATATTCTAAAATAAAATAATCTTTTTTAAAGCATATCATGAAAAGAAATAAATAGAAAGGACTTAGCTTATAGATATATTAAATAAAAAAAGGTAAAAATCTTCTCTCGACCGTACTGGCAAATATTATTTATTCAATCACAACGTTTCGACCCTTCTTTGAGTCCTTATCAAGTGATCTAGATATACATAGACAGAGATTAATACATTAAGAAAACAAAATTACTTCACTAACAATATTACAAAATGATAAAAAGAAAAAGAAGCGAGACATACTTGTAAAAATAAAAATAAAATTATAATTTTAAGATGTCAAGAACGAACATAGTGTCGGTTTGACATCTTAAAATTATAATTTTATTTTTATTTTTACAAGTATGTCTTGCTTCTTTTTCTTTTTATCATTTTGTAATATTGTTAGTGAAGTAATTTTGTTTTTTTAATGTATTAATCTCTGTCTATGTATATCTAGATCACTTGATAAGGACTCAAAGAAGGGTCGAAACGTTGTGATTGAATAAATAATATTTGCCAGTACGGTCGAGAGAAGATTTTTATCTTTTTTAAATTCTGTCTGGCGATTTTCAAATATCTACGTTCTTATTAAATAAAAAAAGTGTTGTAACATTATCCATTTAATCAATCTATTGCAATGCATACAGGTTGTAGACGAGACCGGTCAATTTAAGGAGGAAAATTTTAACAGGGCCATGGCCTGTCTGCAGAATATGGGCGACGCCGCTAAAGGCGACACGAAGGGACGCAAAGGCGGTTTGCGCGCCACAAACAGCGGGCAAACAAACATCTTCAAGATGGTGAAGATGATCATGGAGAGAAATTTCGCCCCGGTGATAATCTTCAGTTTTTCGAAGAAGGATTGCGAAGTTTACGCCATGCAGATGGCCAAATTGGATTTGAACACACTGGAGGAAAAGAAACTGGTGGACGAGGTCTTCCATAACGCGATAGACGTCCTGAACGACGAGGACAAGAAGCTGCCGCAGGTCACGAACCTGCTGCCGCTTCTGCGACGTGGAATAGGCATCCACCATGGCGGACTCTTGCCGATCCTGAAGGAAACGGTTGAGATACTGTTCGGCGAAGGTCTGATCAAGGCCCTTTTTGCCACCGAGACGTTCGCGATGGGCCTGAACATGCCCGCGCGGACAGTCCTGTTCACGGCGCCCCGGAAATTCGACGGCAAGGACTTCCGTTGGATCACCTCCGGCGAATACATCCAGATGTCTGGCCGCGCGGGCAGGCGAGGCCTGGACGATAAGGGGATTGTTATACTGATGATAGACGAGCAAGTCAGCCCGGTTGTCGGCAAGGCCATCGTTCAAGGGAAGCCGGATCCGATCAATTCCGCGTTCCATTTGACCTATAATATGGTTCTTAATCTTCTTCGCGTGGAAGAGATTAATCCAGAGTACATGCTGGAAAGAAGCTTCTTCCAGTTTCAAAATCAAGCTGGCATTCCAGCTCTGTATAACAGTGAGTCGTTATTCGCTGACATCACTAGTTTAAATATCTTTTATTATATTATAGTTCATTATATATATATTATATATTATAGTTTATTATATTATATCCTTATAGCACAACATATCTGAAAGATATTCAGAGGATCTCCAGAGGACATTCGAACATCCTCAGGATGTTCTTTGAACGTCTTCGGGATATGTGTGCTGTTAGGGATATTGAGTTATATTTTATATTATAGTATTATATATTATATTATAGTTTAAAAATCCCTTTTATTATCCCCCTTTTTTTACAGAGGTAAAGGAGTTGTACACCACCTACAATACGGTGAACATCGAGAGATATGATGAGATTTCTTCTTATCACGATATACGCGAGCAACTCGATCGACTGAGCGGGGAATTTCGATCGTTTTTGACGCAGCCAGAGTATCTGGTGCCATTTTTGCAACCCGGAAGACTGATAAAAGTGTATATTTATCTATTTTTTCATTTTCGTATCATCTTTGATGAAATTCTTGCTAAAGTTAATTTATCATGCGTATATTGCAGGTGAGAAACGAATGTGAAGCGTTCGACTGGGGTATCGTGGTGAACTTTAAGAAAAAGAATCCGAAGAATCCAGTGAAAGATAAGACTGTCATCGTTGTCGACGTTTTACTTCACATATCGAAAGACTCCAAAGAAGGCGCTCCGTATCCGTGTCGCGAAGGCGAGGAAGGCGAAATAGAGGTGGTGCCTATCTCCCATCATTTAATTTCTCAAATCAGTTCGCTCAGGTTGTATTACCCGAAGGACCTCAGGCCGTCCGATAACAGAAGGAGTGTACTGAAAACGATACGAGAGGTGAAGAAGAGGTTCCCAGAAGGTCCGCCGTTGTTAAATCCTATTACGGATATGCACATAGAGGCTCAAGCCTTTAAGGATATCGTTAAGAAAACTGAAGCGTTAGAAAAGAGATTGTACGCACACCCTTTACATAAGGCAAGTGATAAATATACAGAGTGTCCCATTTTAATTACCTCCAAGAACTTTTTTTATCAAATATAGTTCAAATAAAAAAATATGGTTCTATTTAAAAAAACAAATAAACTTCAAATGACATTGAAAAGCGTCTTTCAGTAGAAAGTCCGTAGCGCTATCTTCTTAAGGACATTTTTCAAGGTCATTTGCCCCCCCCCTTTTTTTTTTTTTTTAGAATCACTATTTTTTATGTAAATTAATTCCTCACAATTTTTAGCATAAAAAGTTATAAGGATAAGATTAAAAAGAAAATGAAAAATACATAAATGACCTTGAAAAGCGCCTTTCAAAAGAAAGTCCGTAGCGCCATCTTCTGTTCTTAAATCAAAATCCTGTCGCTTAAAATCTTATATACAGAGTGTTTAGACCACCCGTCTACCCCTTTTCTTTCAACAACTAAAGATTTTAGAGAAAAACGTTTTAGACAAAAATTGTATGGTTTTAAGGAAACATGAGTTGGTGCCATTGATTTGACCTTAAAAAGTCATTTGAAGGACATGTGAAGATCAACTTCAATTTCTTAAATGGAACTATATTTTTCATTACATATTCTTGTAAGTTATCTGAAGAACTTTCCAAAACTCTATAATAAAGTATTTTTTTATGGAGTGCTCTTATAGTAGAGTTATAAAGGTTTGAAGCTAAGAATTTCTTGACATAAAATGTAAAATATCTTGTAAAATATTCAGTTTTTGGTAATTATACTTTAATACTTTTTGCACGGAATAATGAGACCAATCAATTGGTGTAAAGAAAACAGATAATTGTTTTAAAAATAATATATAATATTTAACATGCACACAACTGCATACTTTTTTATAAGCAACTATGTTTTTTATACCAATTGATTGGTCTCATTATTTTGTGCAAAAAAAGTATTAAAGTATGATTACCGAAAACAATATTTTACAAGATATTTTACATTTTATGTCAAAAATTGTTAGCTTCAAACCTTTATAACTCTGCTATAAGAGTACTCCATGAAAAATACTTTATTATAGAGTTTTGGAAAGTTCTTGAGATAACTTACAAGAATATGTATAATAATAAAAAATAGATAATTCCATTTAAGAAATTGAAGTTGACCTTCACATGTCCTTCAAATGACTTTTCAAAGTCAAATCAATGGCACCATCTTATGTTTCTCTCAAAACCATACAATTTTTTTCTAAAACGTTTTTCTCTAAAATGCTTAGTTTTTGAAAGAAAAGAGGTGGACGGGTAGTCTGAAATACCCTGTATAGAAACGCATTGTGTGTATTCTTTTTGTAATTCAAATCGAAATTTTGTAATGTTTGCAGGACCCTGAGGTAAATGTACTATATGAACAATTTTTACACAAGGAGGAATTGGCTGTGCAGCTCAAGCAGGCCAAGGAAGAGTTCAAGCAGGCCAAGTCGATACTTCAGATGGACGAGCTCAAATGCAGGAAGCGAGTTTTAAGAAGAATGGCATATTGCACGTCGGCGGACATCATAGAGCTGAAAGGACGCGTAGCCTGTGAACTGAACGGCGCCGACGAGCTATTGATGACGGAGATGATCTTCAACGGTCTCTTCAACGCTTTAAGTGTGCCGCAGATGGTGGCGTTGATAAGTTGTTTTGTGTGCGACGAAAAATCGAACGAAATGCCTAAAAGCACGGAGGAACTGAGCGGTCCCCTCAGACAGATGCAAGATTTGGCACGAAGAATAGCGAAAGTCTCAACGGAGGCCAACTTAGAATTAGACGAGGATGCATACGTCGACAGATTTAAGCCGTTTTTAATGGACGTTATTTACGCTTGGTGCAAAGGTGCAACGTTCTTACAAATTTGCAAAATGACAGATATATTTGAAGGTAATGTATTATCATTTATACAGGATGACTCATTTTAATCGCCCCAGGCAAATATTTTGAAAACTATGAGATACAAAAAAATGTTTCAAATAAAAGTTTTTTTTTACTTCGAGGGGCACATAAGATGATGTCATTAGTTTGACCTTGTATAATCATTTGAATGTCATGTAAAGGTCACCTTTAATTTCTTAAATGGAACTATTTTTATTGCATATTCTTGTAGCTTATCTCGAGAGCTTTCCAAAACACTATAATAAAATATTTTTCTCTTAAGTACTAATCAGACCAATCAATTAGAATTAGTGTAAAAAAAAACAGTTGCTTTTAAAAAAAGTACGTTGCATTGTTGCAATTTATATACTTTTTTAAAAATAATTATTTGATTTCATTATTCTATGCATAAAATATTAAGGTAAGATTATCGAAAACTGAATATTTTACAATATATATATATATATATATATATATATATATATATATTTTACATTTTTGTCAAAAAATTGTTGACTTGAAACCTTAATAACTCAAAAAGTACTTAAAAGAAAAATACTTTAATATAGTGTTTTGGAAAGCTCTCAAGATAAACTACAAGAATATGTGATAAAAATAGTAGGTTCCATTTAAGAAATTGAAGATGACCTTTACATGACCTACAAATGATTATACAAGGTCAGATTAATGACACCATCTTATGTCTCTCTCGAAATCAAAAAACTTTTATTTGAGACATTTTTTTGTATCTCTGTTTTTAAATTTTTGCCTGGGGCAAAAATTTTTAATATTATTAATTATTTTAAGTAAAAAAATTTAAATCAACAATGGATTCCAATTGCAACAATTCCTCAGAAATAATAAAATGTTAATTTTGTGATTTAATCAAAATATTGGTGATTGAATTCAAATTTGTTGAATTAATTCAGATAATAACAAGTAATTTGATGGAATAAAGTGATAGCATTAAGTTATAATTTTTAAAAATAATCTTGCAATTGGGGGCCCATTTGTTTGGTTTGAATTTTTTTATTCAAAATAATTCTAGGAACATAAAATCAAATTATGAACATTCTGCGTAAGGGGATCCTAAAGTCGTCTGTTTTACCGATAAAACGTGAAATTGGATTCGACTTCTAAGTATCGATTCTGTAACTTTTTCTAAAGTAAAAACTTGAAAAGTGAAAAATTTCTGCCAATCACACATTGATTTTAAAATGAAATCGATGTGCTATTGGCGGAAATTTTTCACTTTTTACTTTAGAAAAAGTTACAGATTCGATACCCTAATCTTTTTATTGACTATGCAGATTGGAAAATCCTTTTCCACAATTAATAACTAACAGTGGAATCTATAATTTCATTTTTTTTTAAATTACACTTCTTTATTGACCTTTTTTAACTTTTTTGTTTTACATGAAATTTTAGCGTTCGCAGTTTGTACTTTAATCATGGAAAAGGATTTATCAACCTGTATAAAGCTAATAAAAAAATTCGTGGTCGAACTTCCAACTTAATTTTATTGGTAAAATAAAAAAAAATTTTGTAAAATAAAATTAAAAATTTTTGTAAAACAAAAAATTTTTAATCTTTGTAAAACAAAAAAATTTTTAATTTTTGTAAAACAAAAATTTAAAAAACTGTTTTTAACATAAAATCGGTAGGTTCCGGCTTTGTTTCTCTATGTACTTTAATCGTGGAAAAGCATTTATTATTCTATTTAATCAATGAAATGAAAAGGGTGCAGAAAAATATTCATTTTATCGATAAAACAAAATAGTTTTAGAATCCTCGATAAATTGCAATTCTTATATTTTTCTTCCTGTATAATAATGTGTATAAAATATATTTCAGGATCTATTATTAGGTGCATGCGCCGTTTAGAAGAAGTGCTTCGACAACTGTGTCAAGCTGCGAAGGGTATTGGAAATACAGATCTAGAAAATAAATTCAGCGAGGCGATCAAACTTATAAAACGTGATATTGTATTTGCGGCGTCTTTATATTTATGATGCAAAGAAAAATAAATTAGTGCCACAAAATAATAATTTTTTCTCCATTATATACAGATATAATATAGTATACCAATATAATATAAATTTTAGTGTATATTTTCATTATTTACATAGCCCAATTGTGCAATGCGTTCATAACAAAAAAAGACAGTTCTCATTTAAAATTGCTCAGAATTCTATTTATTCCTGAGAAGTTAAAAGTATATAATATATGTATGCATGAAAAAAACTTTTTTTCTTCTTTTTTTTATCTTTTTATGAAATAACATTACATTCATCGTATATGACTTCATCATATGGGAAAAGTTCAGCGTAAAAATGTGTATTTTGCAAGATAAACAGGATTTCTATAATTTGCTGTTTTCTATCTCGAAATTGTTAAATAAATACATTTTTTTTGTAGAATATTTGCGACACTTAATTTCTATATTTAAATTTAATTATAATATATTATTTATCGTTCTTCTAAAATTACTGTTTCCTGTGGACAGAATTTCAGTTCCATCAAAGTGAGTTTCGAGTCCATGGATGTTAACTGGAACAAATACAAAACACGTCGATGTGTGTGTATATATATCTATTTATATATATATATATATATATATATATATATATATATATATATATATATATATATATATATATTAGATAGTATAATTACTCTTAATGTTTAAAAAAAATTTTTGCTGAGAAATTGGTTTTATTTCAATTTACGTATGCAAAGAATATACGACTCTAAAACAAATTACAAATAAATATCTACATAATAAGAACTTAAATGCTTACATCATCTACTTACATCCCTTCGAGGCCAACTGGACAGGAGCTTATATTCTTCTATAGGATAACCCTCCACGATAAGAAAATTGAAGAGCGTTTGTAATGGCGTGTCGGATTGGAATTTTCGTTCCAGGATTTTTCCGGCCGGAAGTCGTACTCTTACTTTCATTACACCGTCGCCCGCCCCTTGTTGCGGCTCAGGTGGCAAACTGGATTCCACAGCTTGTCTGTGAGCCTCTTTCCTCGCTTCTTCTGCTAGCCTCTCATTTTCGGCCTGTTCTTTTTTCTTTTTCTCAAGTTCTTCTTGCATTTGTTTCGCTTCTTCTTTTGCTCTAAAAAAATTCAATATTTATTTATAATTTAATAATATTTATTTGTGCAACCGATGCGCGAAAAGTCGTCTTTTCCGCACATGATGGGATTTTGGAAAGGGCTCCCTTTCCACGCACCGGTCACACAAAATGTAGCCAACATGTGCGGGTCATAAATCGGCCGATTTACGATCCCCTGCACTTGTTAGCTAATATACTATTAATCTATATTATAATATAATTTATATTTCGCTTTTTTTTTGTTTTAAAAAAATTTAATATTCATATTTATAAAAGGGTGTAAAATTACATGTCTAAGTGAACTGTGTGGTTCCTATTTTCACCTTTCAAGATCGTCATTTTTGCTAAGTTACAAATGACAGTTACTTGACTACTTCGTTATTTCAACATGTAATTTAATTCAACAGCCTGAAGAGGACCGAATTGATGGTCGAAACGTCGTTTCTTTTTTGAATAAAAGAATTCTAACTTTGCCGGTGTTGGTCAATTAATTCTTGCCTAATTTGGTTTTTAAAAATTCAACTGGCGATCAAATCACGTTTTCCGCATATTTATAATATTTAATATATATTTATATTTCGCTTCTTTTTTTGTTTTAAAAAAATTTAATATTTATATTTATAATATTTAATATAATTTATGTCTCGGATCTTCTTTTTCTCTAAAAAAAATTTAATATTTATATTTATAATAATCTATATATATAATTTTCATCCGTCTGACCGCGAACTACTTTCACATTTATGGACCAATTTCCTCGAAAATGTACCAAAATGTTGCAAATTTTTCGGAATAGGTTGCTGTGTGGTTTATTTTTATTAAAAAAAAAATTTTTTCTTCATAGAGGGTTTTCGCGAAAAAAAAATTTTTTTATTTTTATGCCAGTGCGTTCGAAATGTTCAGAAACAACGTACTATGTGATTTTCAAAAAAGTTTGTTTCTTCCTCATAGAGGCTGTTTTCGCGAAATTTTTTTTTTAGATTTTTATGCTAATAGATTCAGAATGGGTTCAGAATGTTCCAAAACATCGTATTGTGGTTTTTTTATTGAGCTACACACCCACCCACGCATTTACACATTTATTGATCGATTTTTTTGAAATTAATATCAAAACTTTGCAAATTTTTCGGAGATGTCGACGATAGTTTTTTTTTAAAGTTTTACAAAGTTTTGCACCCCCATCCACCCACCCACGCACTCACACATTTATTGATCGATTTTCTCAAAATTGGTATCAAAAATTTCCAAAATTTTTCGGGGATGGCGATGATGGTGGTTTTTTTAAGTTTTACACCTTCATCCACCCACTCACGCATTATAAAACATCAGTCAATAAATGTGAGTGCGTGGGGAAAGGTGTAAAAAAAAGCCATCCCCTAAAAATTTACAAAAGTGCGTAGGTGGGTGCGTAGGTGGGTGCGTAGATGGATGAGTGATGTAAAAAAAATAACATCCATCTCCGTAACATTAAAAACATTGTGGTACCTGTTTCTCGAAAATCAATAAATAAATGTAGAAGTAATTCGCGGTCAAACAGACAGAACAACTAATTTTCTCTGTTAAAGCAGGTTTTATATAAGATTTAAGGACCGCATGAAGCGCGGTCCGAAACGTAAGGCTTTGAGTATAGAGCCTCAAAGAGAGAGAGGCGACAACTGATCATATGAGCACCTAATTCCTGATTGGCTAGTATATGTACTTTTTAGACATTGCAGAACATCTAATCTAACACCGACAGATGTCAAATGTGTGATGTATGTGTAATGTGTTCTGCACAAGCGTCGCAATGTCTAAAAAAACACATTATGCCAGCCAATCAGAAGTAGATGCTCACATGACCAATTGTCGCCTCTCTCGCCTTGAGGCTCTCTAGCTTTGAGAACTGCGCGAAGTGCGGTCCGAAACGCTAGTATTTAAAATTTATAATTTAATCTTTATTTAATTTATATTATAATTTATATAGATATTACGCTTATTGTTCAATATAAATATCTAATATTTTCGTGCAACAGATATTAGATTCATTTTTTAACGCATATGTTTTATGTAATAAATCCTAATTTTTTTTATTACCTATCGACTGCCAAACTTTCTTGATATGCTCTGTCTTGTTCTTGCTTGACTCTTTCTCTGGCCTGTCGTTCTTCTTCTACGCCAATATCAGCTCGTCTTTGTTCCTATATTTTGACAGGAATAATAAATAATTGTATAAAATCTGTATTTATACAGGGTGATTCATTTTAATCGCCCTAAGTTAATAATTCGAAAAATATGAAAGATACGAAAAATGTTTGAAAAATTTTTTTTGAAATTTTGAGGGGGACATAAAATGTTGTCATTGATTTGACCTTGTATAATCATTTGAAAAAAGGTCACCTTCAATTTCTGAAATGGAACCTATAAATTTTTTATCACATAGCTTATCTCGAGAGCTTTCCAAAATTTTTTCTTTTATTAAGATTTGAAGTTAACAATTTTTTGACAAAATGTAAAATATATATATATCTTAAAATATTCAGTTTTCAGTAATCATACTTTAATGTACTTTTATGTATGTAATGTGAGACCAATCAATTTTAGTGTAAAGACAATACATAGTTGCTTTTATAAAAGTACACAGCTGCATTGTTGCAATTTATATACTTTTTTTTAAATAATTGTTTGATTCAAAGTCAAAAAACTTGTTTAAAACATTTTTTTGTATCTCTCATAGTTTTCAAAATATTTGCTTAGGGCGATTAAAATGAATCACCTTATATACTCATGGTTTGACGAAACAAAGTAGTATCCCAGATAGCACAAGCTATTCGAAAAGAATTCATTTGTATGTAACCAATATGTCACCAATTTTGAGTTCCTTTTCAAATACATATAGAATTCATTTTCATAAAATAAATTCTATATGTATTTGAAAAGGGACTCAAAATTGGTGACATACTGGTGACATACAAATAAATTCTTTTCGAATAGCTTGTGCTATCTGGGATGTTTTATATATTCAGGGTATTTTGAAAGTCTGGAACCAGTCGAATATCTTATTTTTATTTTATAAAAAAATGTTAAATAAAAATTCCAGACTTTATACTAAAGACTAGTATAACAATTTTTTTCCCAACATTGTGTAAAATAACTTACCTGAAATATATCGACAGCTTGTACCAAATTCGTCAGTAACTCGTTCACTCCCACATTGCCGTGCACGATGGTAAATATCTCTGTATTAGATCTAGATCTCATGATGATCATTAAAACTGGCAGAGTATCCACGTCTATGCTTGACACAGCCAACGAGCCAACAGTACCAAGAGTTTGAGTTACAGAAAATAGAAACCTAAGGATCAAACGAGTGTATTTCAATAACAATTATTATTCGATATAAATTCAGTCACACACTTTTTTCCTATTATTCGTATAATCAATACCTCTCTTTATTAGATTCATATGTGATATCCCAACCCCAGACTATAAAATTCGCCGAGAGAAGTTGAAGCACCGTTTCAAATCCTAACAATTGAGTACAAAAGACGTTAGCTAATACGCTATTATCGTGATGCAAATACACAGCTAGTAATTTTCTCTGTAACAGAAAAAAGAATCGATATCAGATGTAATAAAAAATAATTAAAAATAATATTTTAATAAAAATAGTATTTTTTTATTAGCGCAAGACAAACCTCTTTTGCTGGTTTTAGACAAGATTCCTTCAGGGCATCTTCGAATGTGCCGGCGAAAAATTCCGGATGAGCCGGCCCGTAACGTTTTTCGAATTGTTCCGCGAAATGTAATGTGCCCATCACCTCATCTACTACATTTTCTGGCACTTTATGTACATAAAAAAAAGAAAATTATATTTATTGTTGTATACCGATATTAAAAGGATCCTAACGTCGTTCTGTTTTATTGGCAAAATGATCATTTTTCTGCACCCTTTTCTTTTTATTGGTCGAATAGAATAAATATTTTTCCATAATTAAAGTATATATAGAAATAAAATCGGAATCTACCAATTTTATATTAAAAACAAAAAAAAATTTTTTATTTGAATTAAAATTTTCGTTTTTAACATAAAATAGATAGATTCTGACTTTATTTCTATATGCACTTTAATCATAGAAAAGTATTTATTCTATTTAATCAATAAATAAAAAGAATTTTTGTAAACGCTTTAAAAATTAAAAGAATTGTTTTTAAATTTTTAACATAAAATCGATAAATCCCCGCTTCATTTCTATATGCACTTTAATTGAGGAAAAGCATTTATTATTCTATTTAAGCAATAAAAAAAAGCGTGCACAAAAGTAATGATTTTGTCGTTAGTTGAATTCGACCTCTAATTTTTTATTGACTATACAGATTGAAAAATCCTTTTCCAAAATTAAAGTATTAATAATAATAAACTACAATTTTAAGTAAAAAAATAAAAAGTTAAGAAATTATTTTTTATTGGCTTTCATTAAACTTTTTTGGTTTTTTTACATGAAATTATAGCATCCACAGTTTATTATTATTAGTACTTGAATTGTGAAAAAGGATTTTCCAATCTGTAGAATCAATAAAAAGATTAGTGAAACAGTTTTAAGATCGCCTCGGGGTACATTTTCGCTTAAATAAAGCATAAAAATTTTTTTAAATATTAATATACACTTACTGAGACGCTCTACTTTCGTAGACTTAACATCGTCTATGAAAATATCATCCTCAACGGTAAACGTTTCAGGGACATCTTCAAATTCTTCCACATCTTCCGGTTCATCTATGGAACTATCGCTGTCAATCAAATCTATAACCTTCTGAACACAGAGAGAAAGAGAGAAAGAAAGAGAGAAGGAGAGACAAATATTATAAATTTTTATATAAATTTATCGTTGTAAAAAAATAAGATAATTTTTATCCTCTTGAAGTAAGATGTTACCTTCTTCTCTTCCTTCACGGGAAGCTTCCCTACGGATAAATCGTGTTCCGGGTAACAAATCCCGCTTTGTGCCAATATTACGTTATCATCCTTCAGCGAACTAGGCCAACCTTTCCACTGCTGATTTCGTACAGGAACGTCTATTAACGAGTAAATGTCCGTTTTCACTTCTAATACGGTACGCGTGCCAGGAAACTTTAAATTGTACGTTTTATTGTGTACTTCATCCTTTACGTTTAAAGTGTAATTTTGAACCATACGATCCGACAGGCTCACCCTTAAAAGAAAAACATAGCTTTATTATAATAACAAGATAATCACAAAAACTTAATCAGGGTGCCTATTTAGATTTTATTAAAAAATTCCCTGAGAAAATTTCCTGACAAAGAGATATAATAAAATAAAAAATAATTATTATAAACATCTCAAGGAATACTAATTTATTTAAATTATTAAATTATTATTTAATTATTTATTAAATAAATAAAGAGTACAAATTTATTTAAATATTATCTATTAAAATATTAAATAATTTTCTATGAAATTTATAATTTATATAAGATCTTGACACTAAAAATTTGTCAATAAAAAAAACCACATAAAATAATAAAAATTTAAATATTGCCTAAATATGTTAGACATATGTTTCTTAAGTACTAAATAAGAATAAAATTAACAAAAAGACCATTTAACAAAAATTCCTTAAATCCCAATCAAATGCCATGATAATTCTGATTTTTCAAGGTTAAATAAAGTTCCCTGAGAATACCAGGTTTTCAAGGTTTTTTCCAGAAGTATACACCCTGATTAATATATGTATAATAATTATAATCACAAAAATTGCATTAAGGTAAAAATTGTACAACTTACGTCTCATGAGACAAATCACCGTCTTGCGATACCGTTGACAGGTACAATGTATTTTCTCTAGGCAGATCTAACGTTTGCAATATTGTATTCGATGTTTGGGGTTCCTTTTTCCATCCACGAAGATCTTGTTGACAAGGTGCTATATTCGTTTTATACCATATAAATTGTTTAAGATCTTCTAAAATAAAAAGTATATAATACAACATTCAGTAATTATTTATGCATTTAGTTTGTACATTCATACATTTTTTATATTTAATAATTACTTGTACTAATTTTCAGGTAGCAAGCATACACACATTTTAATGTTAAATGATGTCATTATATGTCAAAATGACATTATTTTCACGTTGAATAATGTCATTATAGATCAAAATGACATCAGTTTGCTCTACTTGAGTTGTTAATCTTTCTCAAGTAACAAATTGACGTTATTAAACGTCAAAATAACGTCATCTTGAGGTCTAATGACATCAGTTTGCTACTTGTGTTATATATAAGTACTGATGTATGATAGTTTTTACTTACTCAAAGTGGACAATTCGGATAGATTAATTTTATAGACATTATCAAGATAATTAATGTGGAATGTAAGCATTCTATTCCTCATACAACTTTTAGGTCTACTCGTTCCAGGTTTTGCACTCTCCACTACATCTGCTTTTGTTGTCTCTATCTTTTTCGAGCTTTGAGCAGTTTGTGGTTTTGCCGAAGACGAATGTGGTATTATTTTAATTTCCTCCACCATTTCTATATCCGGAGCCATTTCGGAGGGTAACTGTTGCGTTCCTTGAGGCATAGCTTTATTTATTGCAGCCTGTACAAAAAAACATGCATTTTAATATATGAAACTAATTGCTATCAATGACTTTGTTATACTTTTATATCTACCAGTAGATCCCAGTTTGTGTCTTCCAAATATAGAATGGCTTCTCCAAAATCATCGATTCCAGTGCATGCCTGCAAACGATACAAGAATACATTTCGATAGACATTTAAAAATATCTTTAAAGATTTTTATTTTGACAAATCCCAAAAATATTTTTAAATCTAAAATTTCTTACAAAATTTTTTTAAAAATAAATATTAAAAATATTTGCACGTGTATTTTTAAAAATCTAAAATTTTATACAAATATCCCTCGAGTTAAATAGAAATTAATTTTAAAAATATCTGTAAACAAATAATATATTTGTACAAGCATGAAAAGTCATTTCGTACTTCAAAACAAAGACTTATAAAAATGGCGTAACAAAGAAAACGACAGGACATTTTTCGCGAAATTTGCCAAAATTTTGATGTCAAGATTGAATGTAAAAATTCATATTTAATCGCTCGAGTAGTTTCGAGACTTCTGACTTCTGACAATTCAGTGAAAGAAAAAAATAAATAAAATAAATGCAATGAAGAAACTTACTTTAAATGTCCAATTATTCAATGTCATTTAAACAGCTATAACCTAACAACGTATTTACATGTTTGTGCAGAACAAAAATCAGCTGGCTTACCTGAAAATCAGCCAGTATCGCGTCCCGATTTTCAGCCATCGCAATGAAATTCTGATGCGAAAATAATGCGGGACAATTCTTTTCTTCTTTCTTTCTTTCTCGCTTTCTCTCCTTCGCGTGAGAGAATGAGACTGAGAAAAAAATTGCGTGCTCGAGGTCCACCTTCGATTATCTGCTTAAAACTATGACAAATATGAATAACGGCGAGCCATTGACGTCCTAAAGCAGGGCCACCAGATCTCTATATAGGATACGCGGCGTCATATCACGTTAAAATCGAGTGTAATGCTAATAGTGCAACTACGTATTGATACGTTTGATGTTACAGCAAAGCTGTTATATATATGTATATATATGTGTGTGTGTGTATCATATACATCATACATATATATATACTTGCATCATACATACATATATACATATATACACATATGTATATAAAGGCTGTGTTTCAATTTTTGTCTAGTTTACATTGAACACTTTTGGGACAGACTTAAAACGATCCAGATTAAAATGATCTTGTGCTGCGATTGGTCAAATCTGAAATTTAATAAAATTTTATTTCATGAAATTTCAGATTTGATCAATCACAACGCAGGATCATTTTAATCTGAGTTGCTTTTGCAACAAAATCAAAATGATCTAGATTCAAATGATTCTGCACTGTGATTGGTCCATCTGAAATTTCATTAATTATGATTGGTTAAATCTGAAATTTTATTAGCTGTGATTGGTTAAGTCTGAAATTTTATTAGCTTTTATTTTATTCTTTCAGATTATATGTACTTCAATTATAAATTACGTGCATTATTGTCGCTTTATTTTATCTTAAGACTTCTCTGAAATAATTGTCAGGTTTTATGACCGTTACTTTGCATACAGCTATGTCGTTTTATTAAGTTTATTACACTGAAGATGATCTGAAATCAGATCAAAACGTCTGTATTTAAAATTTTTTATATTAAACTATTACATATAAACACGAACATCTTGTTACGGCTTTCTTTGCCAATTTTTATTTGTTTATTAGCTGTGATTGATCAAATCTGAAATTTCATTAAATAAAATTCTATGAAATTTCATATTTGACCAATCATAGCGTAGGATCATTTCCCAGACAGAATATTTATAAAATATTTATAGAATAGTTATAAAAATTTAAATATGATGTTTTTTAAATCGGCCAACAGAGCCAAAGCACGAAAAATTAATTATTCGGAACTGTATCTCTTGGTTTGAGATCACTAAATTCCATATATAAATTAATCTCGAAACTTACATATGGAGAAATAGACGCGAAAAATATAGGTCCGAAAAGTCGCTGAAGCGGGAATTGACGCTCAGACTTCGTTCGATACACTCGTACGCAGGACAACTCGTCGCTCATCATGCCGTCGAAAACAAGCGGAAAAGCTGTCAAGAAGGCAAGCAAGGCTCAGAAGAACATCAGCAAGACGAATAAGAAAAAGAAGAGGAAGAGAAAGGAGAGCTATATGCCATTTACATATCTACAAGGTGTTGAAGCAAGTGCACCCCGATACCGGAATCTCCAGCAAAGCCATGAGTATCATGAACAGCTTTGCCAACGATGTGTTTGAAAAAATCGCCGCCGAAGCGTCAAGATTGGCGCATTATAATAAAAGATCGACGATCACTTCTCGTGAGATACAAACTGCAGTGAGGCTTCTCTTGCCCGGAGAGTTGGCAAAACACGCAGTCGCGGTGAGGGAACTAAAGCAGTGACCAAATATACCAGTTCCAAGTAAAGCAACATTTAACACATCGCAAAATATGTTTTTCGGACTTTTCGGACTTATATTTTTCGCGCCTATTTCTCCATATGTAAGTTTCGAGATTAATTTATATATGGAACTTAGTGATCTCAAACCAAGAGATACAGTTTCAAATAATTAATTTTTCGTGCTTTGGCTCTGTTGGGCGATTTTAAAAACATCATATTTATATTCTTAATATTGAGAGTCGATAAAAATATTTCTTTCTGATTTTATAAAAATTATTTTAATATTTTATAAACATTTATCGTAAATATTTTATAAATGTTTTTGGAGTTTTAGATTCAATAGATCATAAATATATTTATCATAAATATCAGAAAATATTTATGATAATATTATATTATGATAAATATTATAAATATATTTATATTTATTAAATTATTATGATACAAATTTTTTAAAATTTATATTTTCTTTAATAAATACTCAGTAAGAAATCATAAGTTAAAAAGACATAATCAATGATTATTTAATCAAAACAATCGGTTGATAGTCTAATCTAAAATTTGGTCGATTAGATATTTTTGTGTTTTTCAAACTCTTAAGCGGGGAGCACACACTCTTGCATAAGCGCATATAAGCATATATGCATAAGAAATTCGTTTGTTTGAATTACTTATGTACACGTTCATGGACCAATCGTAGAAATCCAAGACCCTCGTAGAAATCTATCACTAGTATCGCCAATTAATCACTTATATTTTGAGTACTTAAAATACTGATATACAGTAATTTAAATACTCAAAATGAATGATTAAGTACTCAAAATAAATGATAAATTGGCGTTATTAGTGATAAATTTCTATAAGGGGATTCTTATGTTTACGCTTATGCGCCTATGCAAAATGTGTGTGCTCCCCGATTTAGCCATTTATAAAAAGTTAAAAATGTGTAAAAATGTTTATAAGTAACTTATTAGACATTTATTTTAAAATAGAATAAAAATTATAATATACAATACACTATATACAATAATACACTATATACAATATATACTTAAAGCAACACAGTAGTTTCACAATAGTATATTGGCTAACAAGTGCGGGAAATCGTAAATCGAGAGTGCGGAAGTTTGGCGCACAAGGCGAAGCCGAGTGCGACAATCCGTACCTACTCTCGGCCGATTTGCGACCCGTACATGTTGGTCACCATATTTTGTGTGACCGGTGCGTGGAAAGGGAGCTCTTTCTAAAATCCCATCATGTGCGGAAAGAGCGACTTTACTGTTGCACAAATAAATTTACGTACACATTGATATATATGCGTACATTTATTTGTTAAAAGACATTCTATTGCAGAATATGTAGCTCAAAAATAGAAATAATTTTATGACATTTTTAATTTTATTAATTTTTGTTTTTGCTAGCCTTACATAATTCTCACAACGAAAATCAAATACGAGAAAGATACGTCATAATTAGCGGTAAATGAATAGAACTAACAATTTAGTTAAAAAATATTTACAAAATAATTACTATAAATATTTATCTTTACATACCATTACGGTCGTATACGACTGTGCATACCATAAAATATTACATGAAATATTTAACAATCAAAACGATAATAAGAATATTAAGTCAGCTCCTCAATTTTTAAAAACACGATCTACACTCCATTCCTCTCAGCCAATAGAGCCACACGCGATGTTATTGCGACAATTAAGAAAGAAAAAAAATTTGGAAACTAAGGAATTTGTATCCTATGGTTGGGATCTCAGAAATTCCTCTTTGTTCCTTCTCCTAACTTCTCCTGTAAAGAAAATAGGCGAGAAAAATATTGGTCCGAAAGTCGTCTGAATCGGGAATTTCTTTCTTTCTTAATTGTCGCAATAACATCGCGTGTGGCTCTATTGGCTGAGAGGAATGGAGTGTAGATCGTGTTTTTATGAAATATTTAATCTATGTTTTAATAATATGTTAAATAAAGGCTTTTATAAAACATTTTCAAAATATTTATATATTTGAAAAATATATATATTCATAAATATTTACGAATCTTTATCATAAACATTGTGGCTGGGTTTCTGTCGCGAAAGCAGTCCAGTTAAACTTCAATTAATAGTATATTAGCTAACAAGTGCGGGGGGTCATAAATCGGCCGAGAGTGCGGAAGTTTGGCGCACGAGGCGAAGCCGAGTGTGACAATCCGCACTCTCGGCCGATTTATGACCCGCACATGTTGGCTACGATATTTTGTGTGACCGGTGCGTAGAAAGGAAGCCCTTTCTAAAATCCCATCATGTGCGGAAAAAGCGACTTTTCACGCGCCGGTTGCACAAAGTAAATTGTGGAGCCGAGCCTAATTATACAAATTGAAAAATCCTTTTCCCTAAATTAACATATTAATAATAACGAACTGTGGACGCTATAATTTTATATAAAAAACAAAAAAGTTAAAAAAGAGTCGATAAAAATGTAAATTTTTTTACATATAATTAAAGGAGGAGGCTCAGTTGCGCACAATACAATTGGACACGTTGCAATTGCACACCGTGCTATTGGACACAAGATTACGCACAGTTCTTTTGCGCACACTCCTTCCACGCATGCTACTCGGCGGGGTGGGTGCGGAAAAGGGGGAAGAAGGGGGTCAAAGACCCTCCCCCCCCTTGCCCCCGTGTGTGTGTGTAATAGTGTGTATATAGGCTTGGAAGGGGTGTGTGCAAAAGAACTGCGCAATCTTATGTGTCTAATAGCACTGTGGGCAATTGTACTGTGCGCAAGTAAAGGCTTCTCATAATTAAAACATCTATAGTTCGTCATTATTAGTATTTAATTGCGTGGAAAAGGATCTTTTTAGAATCTTTTAGAAAATTAATTAAATTAGGAGGATTGTTTTATGAGGATTGTTTTATTATTATTATTATTGTTAAATACAAATTGTAATAAAATATATAATAAAAAATTAATTTTTTATTATAAATATAAATTTATATAATTATATCATTTTAATTTGAAGATTATTACAATATATATTACATCTCATTATAACATAACAGGAATGTTGTGGAATGTATAATAGTTTTATTATTTACATGTAAATCTCTCAGAAGCCAAACTATAATCAATTTAACTTTTTCTAAATTTTTAAACTTTAGCAGTAAAATTGATCAGTGTTTACACCTTACAGACTTCCATTATGATTTCCTATATTTCACATAGGTCTCATGTACATCATGTCGATTCTTACTTATTTATATATATTTATAAAAAAAATTTACCTTTATTAGTTTAAATATAAGCATATCATATCATAAGAGATTATTAAAAATATAAAAATGTTATATATTAAAGTATTTGCTTCTTTATATATTAAAGTATTGTCTTCTTTTTTCTTTGTACATTTTTTGTATATAAATAAATTTTACATAATTTTTCTAATTAAAATTTTCTAAGCTAGAATTATAATTTATATGTATCTCAATATGGAGATTGACTCATTTATGCACGTTACACGCATAGATTAACATAATCACATTAATATATAGTTACATGCAATAAATTTTAATTAAACTTTCTTAGATAACTAAACACATTTTAATTCTATTAATAAGACAATAACTTTTATTAAATTAAGTAGTAATGTCTGTTTGAACAAAACAAATTGAATGATGTATGTTAAGCAATAAAAATACAAATTATTTATTCATATTTATAAAGATATTTCAATATTTCAAAAAGAATTCTAATTTAAATTGATACCCAAAAACAATAAAAATTAATTAATTTGACAAATGTCAAAATAAATATAAAATTTAAGTATATATATTTTTTATTATTATTTTTAAAAATACTCTATTATATTAAATGAATGAAATACAGAATATTCCATGAAAACCTAATCATATAGTAATTATTTTTGTAAATGCATATAAAAAGAAAATGTTTGAAATACTATTATATATAAATTTTATATTTTAAATAAGATTTGTTATTAAATTTGTCAATAAAAATCTAAACAATTATTGTCATTTCAAACAACAAAAGATATATGTATAAAAACACATTTAAGTAATTACAAAGTTTACAATATTTTTTTATTAAGAAATTTTAATAATAATAAGTTAATATAAATTATAAAAAAAGAATCTGATTAATTTTTGTATTATAAGATATATATTAAGGCATCTTCTATTTATACATTAATAAAAATCTTTTATTAATTTGTACTCAAATGCAATAAATCGTTAAAAATATAGTCATCTTCTCTCTCGTGATAACACATACACTTACGTCCATAATGCAGTTGGCATCATTCCTTCTACCGTTCCAGCGGCAGGTTTTAATTCTTCATTGCATAAGAATTGTAATGGCAAATCGACCAAGTGACCCTAGAAATTTGAATTTTTAATTTAGAAAAAAATGTTTGAAATATAAATTTCATATTTTAGATTTTTCATTAAATTTGTCAGTAGAAATCCAAACAATCATTGTCATTTCAAGCAACAAAAAATATATAAGTAGATAAAAACACATTGAGAATTAAGTAATTACAAAGTTTACAATATTTTTTTCATTAATATAAGTTTTAATAATAATAATAAATTAATATATAAGTTACAAAAAATATCATTAATTTTATGTGTTAAAAGATTATTTTTATATGTGTTAAGTTAATATGTAAGATAGAAAACGATTGACTCACACATATAAGAATTTTAAGATACCTTGATACATTCCGCTAATTCTTGAGCTAATAATGGATCGGATAGTGAAATGGGTATTTTATCTTGATACTGTTTCAACATAGAAAAATTGACTACTTTATCAGTGGGAATACACTGGAATACTTCTTCGTATATTTTTGTATTTTGTTTGCTTCTGGCGCACCACACATCTTTATAGAAGGACTTGATAATGATATCGTCGATGTTGATGTCTTCTTTACTATTTAATAGTCCTAAATGTTCGCGAAACAATTGTTTTCTTAAAGAAGAAGCAAATTTACCACAAAGAAAAGGTATATCGTTCATGCGACCATCTTCAAATTCCTGATCCTACAAATATAACTTTTATTAATTTACATGTACATATACATATAAACAAATGTTAAATTTTTATCATGATAAAATTAATGACTCGTTTTATTAAACAGCATAAAATATCAGGGAGATAAATATATACTTACATGAATTATTACTGCTATCTCGCTGTCTCTTGAAGAGATCATACTTCTGTCATTTATATTAGCTGATCCACATATTACTGTGTTATCATCTATTATTATTAATTTGCTATGAACATAGATAAGTTCTGTTACCATTGTACCATTTAACATACAATGTGTTCTCAAGCCATGGAATGTAATGTATTCACTAGGATCCTCTATACCTGCTTCTATAAGTTGATTTAAAATAGCATCCTTTCCCCTGTTATTAAAATAAAAAAAATTCATATATGTATATTTTATATACATATAGGACGGCAAAATATTTCAGAAAATATTAATTTATTGGGAAAATGTTTCAAGAGAATAGGATTTAAAAAAAATCTATTAGCTGATGATATCCATTTGATCTTGGAATGACCTTGAAAAGCTCGGTCAAGGTCAACATAAAAATCTTAACTAGAAAGCCCTCTTTTTTTAAACATCCCTATTTTTTAAGACATTTTTCTCATATGATTGAGACCCAAATTATGTCATACCTCGATATAGAGGCATAATTCCAATGCGTTATTGCTCGTAATGCTGTTCCACTTGGTCCTCCAACTTCTCCTTCAAAACCTGGTAATAAAGGCATTATGACAAATACTCTAAACACCGAGCCTTCTCTGTGCGCTCTCAGGATTCTTTTCAACAATGTCTCGCCAATTCGATTTTTCACAATACTTTTATCCATAGAGGCAAGTGTGATGAAAAATTGATTTTCTATGTATATATATCTACAAAACTATGTAAGATTAATAAAATGTCTAAAGTCACAGAATATCATAGAATGTAAAAGCCTCACCTTTCTGCTTTACTGATGGCATGAATGTAAGCTTCTTGTATACTTTGCTCTAAAGTTTCTGGATCAAGAAAACCAGCTGACCAAGAGCTCACCGATCGCAATACTTGACACTTGACATTGTGCTTATTTGCTTCTATAATAAATGGAGCGTAACTCATGCAGTGTTTGTATGACTTTGGCAATAAGTAAGGATAACATAGATTCAGATTTGCTTTTTCTAGCTATAACAAAAGCGTTTCATTAAAATATATATTATTATTTCTTAAAAATATAAATTTAAGTATGCTTATTATCAAATTTACTTTAACGGCATTCCAACGTTGTATAAAATGTCTGGCCACGTCTCTAGCAGCGGAATTCTGTACTAAAATTCCAATATCGTGCCAGGGCATCCTAGGAGTGGTAGTTCTGTCAACTAAATCCTGATATGGCTTTTCAAGATCGTTAAAGTCTTTGACGATGAAATTCGTATAATCTTTACCGAGCCACAATTTTGTCGTGAGTTTTAAATCGCAGGCGAAATCCACCGTATCCTCGAATTCTGATAGTGCTTGTTTGCTGAATTCAGAGGAAATTGTAATATATAATTAAAAAAAAATATATATATATATATTAGTTATAATTAAAATCATAGTTAATTGTTTCACATTATATCATGTCACATTTTAAGATCAGAAATTAAGTTTCTATATAGAAAGTTGTGTTTTAGCACTTGATAAGGGCCGAAACCCATGGTCGAAACGTCGTGAATATTAAATAAAGATTATTAAATAGCCAGAGTTGGTTGATTAAATTACTACCATTTTTCATTTATAATTAAAATGTTATTTTAAAATTGTTATTTTGATATATAATTAAAACAACAAAAAATAAATTAAATAAGAATAACAGAAATAATTATTACTTGTCGACATCTTCGTTGGAGCCTGCTTCGTGAGAACTGTACACCATATTAATTAATTCCTGCCTTTTTACTCTCACGGTGTTTTTCACTTTATCGACGGTCGTTTTCGCCACATCAAATAGATTTTTTCTCTGCATTTCGGGAGTATTACATTTTATTTTATCTTCCTTTTCTTGCAGCATAAAAAGTGAATTGTCACCTAACGTTTGACCCTTTTGCGCTTTGTCCTTATGAATCATCGGCCTATAAAATAAATAAAATATAAATAAAATTAATTATATATTTATGGTTTTAAAAATTGACATAATATATATTATACTATTACAATTATATATACATATATTTAACACTATTCTATATTTATTATATTAATTATATTAGTTATATATTATATTCTTAATTATAATTAACATTTATGGTATTTATAATAGTACTTACAACAAAGGCATGGATCTCGCAGTTACCATAGCTATAGTATTCGTTGCGATCGCCAATGGTAATAATACATGCCTGTCTGTGTTGCTACAGGTTGCTGATACCTTTTTGCTACTAGTATTAGTCATCCTGTCTTTTGAAGGAATGTAGATACTCGATTGATGAATGGATTCTACAAATTAAGGTATAATATTAAATAGATGCTAATAAAAAAATTTTACAGATATTTACCTAAATCCGTCAATCTGTGCTCGTTATTGTCCCATCTACCGTAACATAAATCGATACCACCAAGAAATGCTAGAGATTGATCGACAACCACGATCTTTTCATGATGAGCCCAAAGAAAAATGCCCGCTCTTGCGTGATCCGGATGCCTCATTACTTTTATATTTTCAGGGCACTGCTCCACAAGTCTTTGTTTGCTGTAGTAACTATTTATGCCTAAAGCGACTTCAATTTCCTTATATATCAATATAAATATTTTAACACCCTCGAACTAAAAAAAATATGCAACGTTGTGTGAAAAATCTCATATATTGAATATTAAATATAAATGTATCTTGTTTTATGTATATAATAATATTAAGTGACATAATATTAATATTTAATAATATTAAGTGACATAATATAATTTATATATTTTATGTATAATTTCAATAATCAAATAGAAAAACAAATTTTTTATACAAAATGTTGCATTTTAAAGCTTCTGAGTTCTTGTCGCAGTCAGATTGTGACGTCAGAGACAAGAAAGCGCACGCTGAAAATTCTTAGATGCCATTTCGAAATAAAAAGATACTTCAATAAAACAGCACTACAAATTAGGTTTTAGCACAATTTTAAAACATCCCGAAATTTATTTTATAATCAATTAACAGCTGTAAAATTATTTTAATATAAGGCTAAAGAATTTTTGGCGTGTGTTTTCTCGCTTCTGACGTCACAATTTCGATACAGTGAAGAGCTAGGAACCTTAAAAAATATGTTTAAATATATAAAAAAAACATTGCATTTCAAAAAACGTTTTAAACAAATATTTTTTTGATTTTGAAGAGGAAAGAAGTTGATAAAACTTAGATTCTAATTGAGATCATTTGTCAAGGTCATTTGAAGGTCAATCTTTTTTTCGCGTTGTAACTACTCTAATTTTTTAATATTTTTTATTTAAATCGATTCCTCGCAATATCTGGCATAAAAAAATAAAATGGTCAAAAAGTGAATAGTTTACGAGATATTTTATAGCTTAATGTAAAATTTTGTCAAATTAAAATATCTAATAACACCCTGTTGAATTTTTAAATAACACAATTTAATCGGTACATTTTTACTTTTTGCATATCTGCATGTAATGTTTGTACTTCAATGAAACTGTTATCAATTAATACTCACTGCTTTTCTTTGCAAAATTTTATCTAGTCGCCAATAATCTCCATTAAGCATCGGCCTTTTCATATGAATTTCTGGTGAGAGCCACCAATCTGCAATAAAAATTTCCTCCCTGGCATTTTCCAATGCGTCAGCCACAGCAGCCATATAATCGGCTCCGTCCACAAACCAGGTTGCAAATACAGATGAACGATACGGAGCAAATGAATTATGTGGATTTGTTTGTATAAAATCTTTGCCTGTTTAAAAAAACAATCAACTAATTAAACATACATAATAATCAGTTATTTATCACTATGCACAGTCTTACCTTCCTGGTTACTAATTTCTTGTATGAAATCCATCCACTCCTTAGCCTTTCGTTTTGTCCAGCACTTGATGACTATGTGCCTGCTTAGATTCGCAATCTGTATCCCACTTCGTGAACCTGTGCTGTATATTCCAAAACTAATCCCAAAACCGTTGTCCATCAAAATGACAGATTTTATTCTTCCATCCTGTGTAAGGTGTGCAACGAAGCTTTCCTTAACGATGAGATGTCTCTTATGCCACTTGCCACAGAGAGAGGCACATAGGTAATTGCACTTGATGCAGAAGCCACATTCGAACAGACCACAGAAGGTACATCTGGTTTTAGCTCCTGATTTAGTCCGTTTCAAAATTGTACCTTCTTTTCCCTTCATTCCTAAGTCGGCCACAAAAGATAAGCGTGAAATATCCAAAAAATTGATCTATAAAAAATATATATACAACAATATGTCTTTTTTAGGATCATTATATTTAAAATGTGATTCGGCTTAATTAAAATAATGTACCTACAGTTTCAGGATGACGTTTGTAGATTTCTATGTTAAGTAAATTATATAAATAATCTTCTAGTTCTTTTCTTCTTTGACCTAACTGCTCATAAGGTACTAGAATGTCAGGTTTATTAGGAAATCTATAAAAATATTTTCATTATATTTTTTCCAATTTTAGTTTCATTAAAAATATAAAGATATAAATATATATGATTTTTATACCTTGGCAAAGCACTTCGTCTCCCTTTTTTCTCATTCTTAGCTCCAGTATTTTTCCAGCTATTTCTTCTCTCTCTATGACTTCTTGTAGGGAAAGGTATGTTCAGACTAGTACGATATATCTTTAGTTGATTGTGCAGATATTGAATATGTTTATATCGCTTTTTAATAATCCAGACAAAAGGTCCATGTCTAAATTCTATGGTATATAGATTTGGATTCAAAGGATGCGTAGTCACACTACGGTCAATGTCTATAATTCTTACTTGCACTTCCTCGCCGGGAATAAACACATTATAATTTTGGTTTTTACTTTTTGTTGGCAGATTATGTATAACAGTGAAAGAAATACCAAGGATTTCTAACAATGGAATAAAGAAAAAAAGAATATAATTAACAAAAGTTTTTAAATCAATAAAAATTGGGTGAAATAAAAATAAGAGAATGAAAAATGTGAAGAAAAAATTTTAGTAAATAAATATACACAAATTATTAATAACTGAGAAGAAGATTCAACTGAACAATATTAAAAACAAATATTATTAACCTTTAGGGGACGGGCGTATTTTTTCGTAAACTTTTGTAATTTGAAGTAAGAATTTTTATATCTTTATTTATAGTGTTATACTATAAAAAATAAGCGACCCTTATAAAGCCAAAATATTGGCTTCCCGTCCTCTAAAGGTTAAAGAACAATAAATATAATTGAAAAGTAGAAGATATACATAAAAGTCAATTTTGTATTAATACAAAATATAAATTTATACCTCTATTACTATCCGTGCATTCTATTTCTTCTTTACGAATTTGTATTGTTTCACCATTCTCATTAATTGTTATTTCTAATGAATCAGGTACCTCCAAAGTGTCATCGTATTCAGAGTCTTGCGATACTGCACGAGTTATCTCATTAGATGCAACCTCAATCAATTCAGTGGACATCTTGACGGTTTTTTTTCCACAAAATTTTCTGCAATATTTACAACACATTTAAATATACAGAAAACATATTATTTAAAATATTAATGGAATATAATAGAGAATATTTTTTTCTTTATATGTGTAATTTATAAATAATCATATATATATATATATGTTTAAAATTTGTGTTAAAGAATATTATATGTAATTATAAATTTGAAAACAAATTTTTTAAAATAATAATCATAAATTGATTTTAATTATTAAAATAAATAATAACATTTAAAAATGAGAAATTCTGTGATATAAGATCAAAAGAAGTATAAATCAAATATTGTCATATTATCAAAAATAATGGAAAAAATTTTGTCTTCCAAATTTTTAAAAATATTTATTAAAAAAAATAAATGCACATTTTATGTGTGTGTGTGTGTGTGTGTGTGTGTGTGTGTGTGTGTGTGTGTGTGTGTGTGTATACTTAATAAAAAATATTGCGTGATTAATATATATATATACACTTTTCCAGATACTTGCACAATGTAATACACTATACACTATCAGAATATTAAAGAATTGCTTTGTTTTTTTAGAATATTTCCACAATTTACACTCACGATTTTATCACTCTATTGAATTGTTGTTAGTATACAAAATGTATAAATCAAATATTATCTATATGTATATCAATAGTGGCAAGAGCAATCTAAAGTTTAAGAGGAGTTGAAGAGACATTGAAAACTTATCGACTTCGATCCTCCTGTACTTGTAGATTGTGAATAACGTGTGTTCTACACACATTTAAGCGTCATACACTTGTATACGTATTCCGAGCCGCGCCTACGGAATTACCCGAAACACTCCGAAGTCATCAAAGTGAGAGATATATTTAATATATCCCTCTTACTACAAATCTTGAATATTGTTAGCCTTGTATCTTTCGATTTCGCCAGATTCCATCTGATTGGAAGTTTTTATATTTTTATGAGTGTCGTTACGTTGATTACGATTACATGATAGATTAAACGCGATCGATGATGATTCACCACATGATGATATTCATCACGATGACTATAAAAGTGCTATAAGGTACTACTGCATTGATTTGAATGTCATCAATGTTTCTTTTTACGTTCTCTTACAAATAGTGATACTGAATATTATACAAGGTGTCCCAGAATTAGCGAATCATCTGTTTTATAGTATTTTTTAATGAATATTTAATGTGTATTATGATTATACTGAAATAACTGAATATTTTACAAAAGACATTTTTATTATGTCAAATCAAATATTATAACTCTCAAAGGAGAACAGAAAATGTCAAAATAATACAAATTGGCGTCAAAATATAGTCAAAATATGATTATTTTAGTTCGTCAAAATGACATCAAATGACATAAAATTTTGATGTTATCGCTTGATGTTTACAATGATAAAAAATTATTTTGTATTAAAAATAATTGAGTTACAAATTTAACAAAAGTTCACAATTATAAATTTTGAATTAGTAATAAATTAATTAAATGGGTTTCAAATCAGTTTTACAATAAGTTTGCATATAAACTTAAACTATCATCAACGTATATATGCCGCTTAAAGTAATATTTTAATCAACAATTTAGTTTTTAATACAATAACTCAACTCTTCTGCGAACTGTAATAATATATATCTGAATATGAAAAATGTTAACCTTTAATTATCTTATTTATTCATAATAATAAGCATTGTATATACACAGCGAGAACATCACATTTTCTAAAAATTAAATTAAAAATTAAAAATTAAATAAGTCAAAAAAAGTCATTTTTTAATTGTGTCTAACTCGCCAAAGACATAAAAAATGATTCAAATTAACAAACGTATATATATATATATATATATATATATATATATATATATATAACAAAAGTTCACAATTATAAATTTTGAATTAGTAATAAATTAATTAAATGGGTTTCAAATCAGTTTTACAATAAGTTTGCATATAAACTTAAACTATCATCATCACTATATACATATATTATTTCCATCCTTTATATTTTTCAATTCTATACATATATGTATAATATTTCTTTATCTATATCCAATTTATTCTATATCCAATTTAGTTTATTGATTTTAATTCAGATATATTTATTTGTTTAGATCAAATTGTTTAAAAAATATAATAAATTATATATACAATGCTTTGTAAAATTTAAACAAATTACATGTTACGTCATCTTCGAGATCGAGATTTCTATGACCAAAAAATGACATAAATTTCGTCATAATGACGTCAAATTGACATTATTTTGACTTTTCTGTTTTCCTTGGATCTAAAAGTACGTAATGAAAAATAACTTAATTATAGCGTTTTGGAAAGCTCTCGAGATGAACTACAAAAATATGTCATAAAAATAGGGGTTTTTATTAAAAAAAATTAAGTTGACCTTGAAATTACCTCTAAATTTGACCTCTAGGTCAAAGTCAAGCTTATTATCGCCAAGTGTTTTAATTATTTTGAGCCCTACAATATTTGTATTTAACAGTTTTTTATAGAACCACTATTTTCGAAGATAATTGGCCGTTTCCAGACTTTTGACACATTCCGTATATACAGGGTGTCCCATTTTAACTTGGACAATAAAATATCTTGAAAACTGAGCCCAGCAGACAAAAATGTTTCAGACAAAAGTTGTATGGTTTCGAGGGAGACGTAAGGTGGTATTGGTTTGACCTTGAAAAGTAATTTGAAGGTCACATAAAGGTTACTTTCAATTTCTTAAATGGAACCTACTATTTCTCGTTACATATTCTTGTAGGTTATAGGTTATCTTGAGAGCTTTCCAAAACACTATAATAAAATAACTTTTCATTGAGTAGTTTTCGAGTTATGAGGCTCCAAAGCAGTACTTTGGAGTATCTTGACATAAAGTACAAAATATCTTGTATGTTGTCATGTTATGGGGTTAAGTTGATCCTTAGGTATCATTCCAAGGTCAAATCAAATTTTCACTCAAATCTCTGTAGTTATAAATGTTTAAAAAAATTCGGATTATTATACTTTTAGCGCTATACAGGAACAACGACTCACATTAGTAAAGAGACTCACGTTAATCAAGTACCCCAAAGGGAACAGAATTCTACTACGTACACGTAGTTGTTCCTGTATAGAGCTAAAAGTAGAATAATCCGAATTTTTTTAAACATTATCATAACTACAGAGATTTGGGTGAAAATTTGATTTGACCTTGGAATGATACCTAAGGATCAACTTGATCCCATAACATGACAACATACAAGATATTTTGTACTTTATGTCAAGATACTCCGAAGTACTGCTTTGGAGCCTCATAATTCAAAAATTACTCAATAAAAAGTTATTTTATTATAGTGTTTTGGAAAGCTCTCAAGATAACCTATAAGAATATGTAACGAGAAATAGTAGGTTCCATTTAAGAAATTGAAGGTAACCTTCATGTGACCTTCAAATTACTTTTCAAGGTCAAATCAATGTACCACCTTACGTCTCTCTCGAAACCATACAACTTTTATTTGAAACATTTTTATCTGCTGGGCTCAGTTTTTGAGATATTTTACTGTCTAAGTTAAAATGAGACACCCTGTATAATAATTACAAAGATACATATATATAATATATATGATCGTAAAAATTGAAAGCATGCAAAAAATGTTGGCTTTCCTCGACATTTTCTCCGAGGAAAAATTATTTCTCAATGATCTCAAAAATCTACCATTAACAATTGATCCGCTCATTCTGGCGGCTGGGACACCTTGTATATACATGGTTTGTCACAAAAATAATAAGACTAAATATGTAATAAATAATGTGGTAACATTGATAAATTCTAATTACGAGGAATGTATATATATTACAATTCTTTTTTTAAAAATACATCAAGGTTTGCTTCGTTCGGTTGCGTTTATGTGTCATTATCTATATTTTTTATAAGTGTGTATTAGTAAACCCCACCATCGTTTACGTTCTAGAGCGATAGAATTCTATTTGAAAAAAGGCATGTGACGCTTTAATTGTTGCCGTTTTTCCGTGATGCCGATTGGTTCTTTCAATGCGCTTAGTTCATGTCTTGAGCAGCTGTCATTTGTGTTAATTTGCGGTTATTTGCAAATTGACAGTTTGCATGAAAAGAAGTCTAAAAATTATTCAAAATTTAATTTATTTAAGAAGTCTAAAAATCAGTTGCACAGGATGTCTCGCGATATGTGTGATAAAAAAATTAAAACAATATTAATGGCGCGCGCGAAGCGCTATTTGAAAAAAGGCATGTGATGCTTTAATTGTTGCCGCTTTTCCGCGATGCTGATTGGCTGTCTTGATTTGTCGTTGTTATGCGTTAAACGGGGAGCACACATTCTTGCATAAGCGCATAAGCATATATGCATAAGAAATTCGATTGGTTGAATTTCTTATGCACATTCATAGACCAATCAAGATTCTTATGTTTACGCTTATGCGCCTATGTAAAAGTGTGTGCTCCCCGCTTTAAATTTATAGCATCGAGCAGCTGTTGAGAAGGTTAACGGTTTGACAGTTGTCAAAATAAAATTTATATATAAATTTTATATAAGTATATAAATATATTATTTTTTGTTCTGCATTTATTCGTGTATTCGTATACATTCGGAAGATTATATTCATATGAAATATGGAATGCATTGGCTGTCATTCAACTTAATGCTATTGTCAAGAGGACAGCAGAGCAGAATGTAAAGTAAGCGAATTTCCATTATACCTATACATAATTTTAATTCACCAAATTTCTATTATGTACATTATCTTAATTTTCTGAATTTCTATTATGTACATAATTTTAATTTATTGAATTTCTATGATGTACATAATTTTATTTCATCGAATTTCTATCATCTACATGATTTTAATTAATCGAATTTCTATTGTGTACATAATATTAATGCCTGAATTTCTATTATGTATACATAATTTCAATTCACCTAATTTTTATTACGTACATAATTTTAATTCCTGTATTTTTATTATATACATATTAGAAATTCGGCGAATTAAAATTATCTATATAATAAAAATTTGGTGAATTAATATTATGTACCTAACAGAAAATCGGTGAATTAAATTTATATACATAACAGATATTCGGGAATTAAAGCTATATATATGTATACAACATAGTAGAAATTCAGAAATCAATTAGAACATAATAGAAATTCGGGAAATTAAAATTATGTACATATACATAAGGGAAATGAACTTGACAAATTAAAATTATGTAATATTAATTCGACGAATTAAAATTATGTACATAATAAAAATTCGGCGAATTAAAATTATGTATAATACATAATAGAAATTCGGGAATTAAAATTATGTCCCTTTTAAAAAAGACATTCTCGCTAGTTATTGTTGTATTAGTATTGTTGCCACTTTTCTGCGGTGCTGATTGTTTATCTCGATTCGCTTATTTGTTGTTAAATTGAAAGTATCAAGTTCTGTCATTGCCAAGATTAAAATTTGACAGTTATATAAGAAAAACAATACCAATGGCGCGCGCGAAGCACGCGTTGTGTTGTCTAGTATATTAAACAAAGATATGGCAATTAAATATTTTGTGTTACACGTGCATGCAAAGTGGCACTTTTTGTAAGCGATTTCTGTACGCAAAATAACGATTTGCCAACATCTACCTACAAAATATTCCACACGTCATATCCAAAGCCTTATCTCATGGAAAAACCGTGGGCAATAACTTATTGGCCACGAGTATCAAGCCTTGTTCACGAATATCAACGCTATTTCGCAGCGCACATCAAGAGACACGGTAGTGTCTCGCGACCAGTTAAGGGCGTAGCGGAGACACCGTGTATCTTAACGCGAGTCGGACATTTGAGTCTTTATAATATTTCGAATCCTCAATAATGGCTGAAGCAATCAAGTTTATACTAGACTTAATCGATAGATTGAGTTCGAATTATATAATAAAAGTGTCTTTATTTCTGCTCTACGTGATTTGTAAGCAGAGATATATAAATGCAAAGTCGAAATATGAAAAATTTCTATTAAGAAACGTCCCCGTCATCATTATCATCATCATTATCATCATCATTATCAT